GGCACCGGCCAAGCCATTTTCACCTGATGGTCATTAAAAGCACACACGATGCGTACACACGTCACGGGTTTACACAGATCTCGCACAACACATGCACATGTGTGTCTTCGAAACACGGATGGAAAGGCTCAGAACTGGTCATGCAACACCACCGGCGTAGGCAGTGGGGTAGCAAGGAGCAGCCGCCAAGTTTCGAGCGCCTCTGGCAGTAGCATCTGTACGGGATAGTACTGGAATAGTATCATCCGGTATGAAAGGTCAAGTCCACGCTGCGAAGAACAGTCTGCACTGGTGCGCTTTTAGCCTGGCGATGCTAGTGTGAACATCCCTCGCTCAGCGCAGAAAAGACTGCTCGGCGCAGGACGGGGATGAAAAAAGTGTGCAAGGGCTTCAGCGACGTGGGCGGCCACTCGCCTGCTTTTAGCATTGCCGTGGCAACAGATCTACACCTTGTTACTTTGCTCTAAGCGAAAGAAGCTATCAACATGCTTCGAGTTATCTGGTCTAAAATACACGCATTGGGGTCAGGACAGCGTGACACTTCAATAAAATGATGAATCGAATAAATTGACTTTGTTGTAACGAGGGTTTTACTGTACAGTCAACGTCTGATTAACAGTGGCTCCTTCAGATTTTTGCTAGGCTTCACACCACAACATTGTCGCTGTGCGGCAAAGCTGCTTTTCAGAGTCTGCTTCGGTTGTAAATGTATGGACTCAACGCTGGTTCCAAGTGTGCCGTTACAGTGGCCCCTTGATATTTTCAACACGCTTCACCGCATTACATGCTTGGTATTGCGGCAAAGCTGCCTTTAGAGCTCTGCTACGGCCGTAAATGGATGGACTCTTAAAGCATTAATTCGAATCTGTGCGACAGAGGGGGGGGCTTTGATTAAAGTCGTTTCATAGCAGAAAGTCCAAAAAGAAAGCTGACAAAGGTGTTCAGCATCTGAAATTTAGGATGTTTTATTACACTGACGTCTACAGGGCAGATTAGCAACTACGAATTCGACACCCTTGTCCATAAAATCAGTTAGGCCTCTATAGAAGTTGAATAAGGGTGAAGAAGAAGAAACGGCTCCCTTTTCTTTCATGTGTAAAGTGTTGTTACACCACATTGGTCGCTCCAAATCATGTAAATAAATACAGTGCGGCCTCTGCATTGCCTCATCCTTGCCAAAACTAGAAAGCACAATCTCTCCAGCACTTTAACAATCCTAGTGAATAAAAATGTGCTTAACCCATTATTGCCCCTTGTTGCATATCTGCAACACCCTTGTCCGTGCCCTGCCGATTGCAAGGATCCTAATGCACCGGTATAAGTTGTTCATACTATGTTATTTTGAGGGTTCTTCGTTCCACGCAGTACAATTTTCAGCCGCTTGGGGGCCACATTCGTCGTATCTGCAGTTTTCAAAATGGCAGCATCCATGTCGTCGTCGAGCTCCGCAAACAAGGTACTGTAAATATTTTTTTTATGAGCCCTCAAGTTAACCTGCGCTGCTTTTTTCACTGAATGTGTGTTCGAAACACTCTTGACAGTAATCTAGAATCCAAAAGTTAGTTTTTTGCTTGCTCTGTTCGAGAAAATATTTTTTGCACGTGGTGTGTTGCACATATGCAACAGTGGGCACTAAATGCCACAATTTTCATTGTTGCAAATATGCAACATAGCTTTTCTGCTTAAAACGCGTCTTACATATCGTGACACGCATTCGTTTGGAGTGTGTGAACGGATGTTTGTTTGCTAATTTTGCTGTTTTAACAATTTTTCAGGGACATACTGCAATTTCAACCTCAACATTCTATTCTGTTCTAAAAGAGAGGCCGAAGCGTTTTGTTCATGCAAACCTGCTGGATGTTATCGACCCTAATGAGAGCGATTTTTCCGCTGATGAAAAAAAAGTGACGAACAAGTGTCTGGAGACAGCAGTGATGAAGGAGATGCCATCCAAACTGAGGTAAAAGAAGCTGAGGAAGAGGTTGCTACCTCGACGAATGCGCCTTCTGTAGATCGGACACCGCGGAACATGAAAAGGCGGTACACATGGGTGAAAAAGGATTTTGATATCGAGGCAGGTAGTTTCGAGAACAACTTTCCGCTGCCACCTGCAGAGCCGCTGAGTGCAGTGGAATACTTTGACGTGTTTGTTTCTCGATCCATGCTAAAGGCTGTCGTCGATGAAAGCAATAAGTACTACTTTCAAAAACATGGAACCACTCTAAACCTCACCGTAGAAAAACTTACACCTGTGGTGGGCGTGTTTTTCAGGATGGGACTTGTAAACATGCACAGGGTTCGTGCGCATTGGGAAAATGAAAGTAGATATAAATTAGTAGCCCAGGTAATGTCCCATAACATATTCGAAAAGATCACAAGCCACCTGCATTTTTTCGATAATGAAGCAGCCAATGACAAAGTAAAAGAAGACAAATGCTGGAAAGTGCGCCCATGGCTCAGTTCCTTGCGCAGCAACATGGTTGTCTTGCCCCAAGAAAAAAAATCTGCAGTGGACGAAATCTTGATCCCTTTCTGTGGGCGGTGCTACGTTCGTCAGTACATGCCTAATAAACCAAAGAGTAAATGGGGTATAAAACTTTGGGCACGTTCCGGGGAATCAGGTCTGTGTTATGATTTTGATGTCTACCAGCGCTGCAACAAAGGTTTTTATGGCAGCCAGGGTGGCTACCAGCTTGGGTTGGGAGCTGCTGTCGTGCTCCAGCTGTGTTCCAGCCTACCGAAGCGTGACGACAACCTAGTCGTCGCTGATAACTTCTTCACAGGCCCTCAGCTTGTAGAGGAGCTTTCAAGAATGGGAATTTTCTATATTGGTACGGTTCGTGAAAACAGACTGAGCTGCAGCAAGTTGATGGAGGAGAAATTGATGAAAACGCAACGTCGGGGCACCTGTGATACTTCAGTCACTTTGTGTGACCAAAAGACAATGGCGGCAGCGAAGTGGCATGACAACCGCACTGTTACTCTTCTTTCGAACTGCATTGGTGCTGACTCGCTTACATCAGTCAAAAGGTGGGACAGCAAGGAGAAAAAGCACATTTTTGTCGATTGTCCAGCGATCATTCCTTCCTACAGCAGATCAATGGGTGGCGTGGATCTTCTTGACAAAATGGGCTTCTCCTATCGCTTTTCTAACAGGTCTAAACGCTGGTATATATATTTGTTTTGGCACACGCTCAAAATATCATCTGTTAATGCATGGTTCATGCACAAGAAAATTCTCCAGCAGCACAAACGGCCGCCTACATCCTTGAGAGAATTCCTCTCTGAGCTCGAAACAAGTCTGATCTTACTCAACAAACGACCACCAGGGCGCCCTTCAATTCAGAATGTCACACCATTCAAGATAGTGTGCCTAAATGTCCCCCGGGATGTCAGAAGAGACAGCAAGGAGCTTTGGCCCACATGGAATGCAAAACAGAACCGCTGTAAGGCATGCCCAGGAGGGTACACCTATGTTTCGTGTGCCAAGTGTAAGGTGATGTTGTGTTTCAACAAAGACCGTAACTGTTTTGTTAGTTTTCACCAGTAGGCACCAAACAGCTATGCTTCAGTTTTGTGCTTTCTTCAATTTGAAAATTCGCCAAAATAATTGGTGGCAATAAAAAGTTTTTTTTCACTTGGCTTGGCCTGCATTTTATACACTACTGCCCATTGTTGCACATATGCAACATCCCATTAATAATTTACAGACTATATCTTCAAGGTTTTTATTGAACATTTGTACTCCTAGTGACTCTAAGAGCATGGCCAAGAAATATTTTTAAGTTTGAAAAAATGTTTCTCATACTGGGAATTATTGGGTTAAAGATCCTCTGCAACATTTCTTTCGCAAGTTCACTTTCAAACATTCCAAAAATAATCACGATAACACGATAATGATTCGAAAAAATATTCGATTCTCGCTCACGCTTCAATATTCGAATTCGATTCACACCCAAGATTTTCCTATTTGCACATCTATAGTGAACGGTCCTGTCTTGTTACCTGTATTGTGTAGTGGGCACCATAGTCCGTGGCCTCCTACTTCAAGCAATGTCCTTGGCGGTGTCGGGATATTAAAGACGATAGTCTTTCTTGGGGAGCTTCGATGGAGATATTTTGGTCGGTCTGTCTGTTTGTACATTTCTCTGTTTGTCCTCCCTTAAGGATACTTAAACGGCCGACCCCATCCGTAGCGCCCACCTTTAGTGCTCAAAATTCAGCGTTCATACTTATGCGATTGTCAATTAAAACGCCATTATTGTGCATATCTGAGGCACCATATCGACACGTCAATATTCTGCATCTGTGTCTTGTACTAGAAAAGGCATACGTTAGTAATTCTAAGGAACGTAGCATTTATAATGCTGCGCTGACTATGCAAGGCCTGCACGAAAAGGCAAGTGTTTCCAATGCTTTGCTAAGACGACACAGTGATGGCACCTACCCGTCGCCTTGAGTGCTACACCTTATCACCTTTAAGACAAGCGCGCACGCCGCGCACGCGCTTCGTTTTCCAAGATAACTGCCAGATGGTGCTCATGTCTCACGTTTGACGTGACGATGTGCTCGTTCGCCTTCGCTGTGCGCTCAAGGCACTCTAACACAGCGCCTCCAGAATACCATTCACCGGTTTTCTTGCGCAGAACATCAAATAAACGTTTTGTTCACTCTCTCCAGACGCAAGACTATTGTCTTTCAACGACCTTTGCAGTGTAACCTGCACTGTAACCTGGCCAAATTTTTTTATTCTCTGCTCAAGCACTTCAGAGCTCAACGGCTGAACTCTTGCAAAGAAATGTTCTTTTTTATATTTTCATTGCTGTGGCAGTGCTCTTAGCGGAGCTGGGTTTAAAACCACACATAGCAGCGAATTGGAAATCTTGCTGCTCGGGGCATGAGTTTGTATGCGCTCTATAATGAACACTTGTCCATGATGAAATACAGAGCCTAGCATGATTTTCTAGGAAGCGATGTACTGATCATTTTGCACTTCGCAGGACACGGAAGGACTGGTGAGCAGACTTCTCCAATGGGCTGAGTCGGAGAGCACGCCTCCGCTACTGCACGCGTATGCCACTGGTCTGCTGGCGGCAGCCATGGAGGTGCAGGACATTGCGGCCAACTACCGGGAGGCCAACGCCCGCCTGGTGCCCGCCATGCTGCGACGACTCTGGGAGCTCGCACAGGCAAGTAAAAGTGTGCCATCGCCATGACTGCTCTGCTCCTTTATTTTCCAACACTAGACTGAGCAGTTACATCCTCCGCTGTCATGTCTTTTCATAACTATGGTCATGATTCCTGAACATATTTCTGTGGTTGTTACTGTGCTAGTACGGCAATGCTCGTACGAGTAATCAACGGAAATTCATGGGGGTTTCCGAGCGATCACCGATGTAAGCCGCCAGTACTTCCGAAACTGTATCGCAGTGAGATCTTCTAGTTGCACTCAAACCTCGTTATGACGAAGTTGCATCTGACAAGAAAATAAGTTCGTTAGATCCAAAAATTCCGTATAAGAGTATATGCCTAACACAATATCTATGTCAAGGCTATTCTATATTTACTTCGTTATAATATTTTGTTATACTTGGGTTCGTTATATCGAGGTTTCAGTGTGTCAGTTCAGGAGCCTGTGCGTGGCACACAATGTCATCCTACCATCTTCTTCTCTGTCCCTGTCGATTTTGAAACGACTTTCCCCGATCAAGGTCATGCTCATTGGGCTCCTGCACTCAAATTCTGTTGGTGTGTCTCTTCCACATTCTGCTCGCAGGTGACTCCCGAAGAGATCATGTGCCGACCGCCAGGAGCGACCTTTCAGCCACCTCAACGGCGCGGCCACAGACGGGCCCCTGTCCACGCCTCAGCAGGCCTCGACGTTGCAGCAGCAGGGGTCGTCTCACAAGAGCCCCTCGGAGACGCCTCTCATCAGCGAGTGTTCCAACAGCAGCTGGGCCGAACTGGAACCGCTCATGATCGGCTCGAACCAGGCAAATTTCGGCTGTTTCACGTTTCTTGTCTCTGGACTCGCTGTTTTTTGATGATGTAGAGGCACATAATGATATAAAGGCACAGAAGATGAAACATACAGAAGGCTCAAGACACACGAGTGCTGACCTACAATAATATTTTACAGTGAAGGCCACTTATAATGTAACTGCAAATAGTGCAGGACTGGTTACAACGCGGTATTTTTCGACACCCATTTACCTTCCTACCGAACTCCATATACTAGCAGAGCACTTACAGTGCAACACCTCTGTTACGAATCTCGGAGTCACTGCTGGGTTATATTTGCTGCGACAATGTTTTTCATCGGTCTTGGCATAGCTCGAACCGGATCATTTGGATGAAAAGATGAGAAGTGTATGAAAAGATAATTTGCCGTGGGCTAGTTATCTTTTCATCCATTTTTCTTTCTTCACGTTTATACTACAGCTGCCTCATATAACATTCCCTATACTTTCCTTGGCACGATTGTCTGTTAGATCACATTAATATCGTGCCTAACGAAGAAAACAAGCCCTTAATTGTATCCTTCTTTTTTCAGATCCTGTAATAGTTTCATAATGCTCAGCATCGCCGCTCCGTGTTATTGGCAGCCTTGCATGAGTTTTGGAATCTTTCCCGCGTTTTAGAAAAAAGATGGAAAAAGCTTTGGTGGCATTTGAGGTAATATTTGCTGTGGCACGATTATTATTTCTCTGTTGGCGGGGATGGTGCATGTCAGAACAGGCAGATTTGTACGTGTTGGTCAATGCATACTACCATTTAGTGCGGTAGTTATGCCACATTCCCAGCAGATACATTTTAATGAGGTTTCACTGTATATCAAGTGTGTGTGGTTGTGTAGTTGCGGGAAGTGGAAGGGGGGGGGGGGGGTACAGCTTTGACATTAATAATGTGATAAGCTGGACTGATAGAAGAACAGTTCAGCAAAACATGAAAAAGTTTGTGATACAATAATAGTTCTGTGATTTTTGGTCATCCTTGAAAACTTGGTAGGAAAAAAAGGGACACAGACCTTGTCAAGCCGTCATGTGGTTTTTTGTTTGTGTTTCTGCTATCTGTACCATGTATGGAAGTGAAATAAAGCTCAAGTTCAGTTCTTTTTTTTTTTCTCCAAGAAAGTGGACACACTGCTCTTAAAAAGTTTATTTCTTGACTGATTATGATGAAACTTGGGTGTGTTTACGTGTATTGGTGGGCCGATTTCAAATATGCCATTATTTTTTTTGTATAAAGTGTAGCTTTACAAACACAAAATGTTTCATGCGTATTTCGGTAAGCAAGATTTTTTTCTAAACTTAGAAAGCTATAAAGTAAATTAGCATATCGCAATAATTTTGAATCAAAGCTGACTGCAGTTGAAGAAAAGTGGATGTTTTTTAACACGAGAGTGTTTTATGCCGGGGTCCACCTCGGCTTCGGGACGTATTTCTGTTACGGATACGACGTTCCACAGCGGGGCGTTGAACCAGCAACCTCGCGCTCCTCAGTGCGTAACGCTAACCACTACAACACGAAGCGACCCTTCTCCAGCATGTGAATGACCAGCCATTTATGTACACTATGTACCGCTGGTAGTCCTTGGAGCTCGGAAACTTCAGCGCGTTTTAGTAACCAGTAGTGAGATGGCACTACCGCGCATGTCGTGCCACGCCCCCCCCTTGCGTCGCTGTGCGTGCGCGCCTCCGCAAGGCTTGGTCAAAGTGTGTATAGATGTTCTCTAACCTAGTGGGTGGTGGCTCACTTGCGCATGCTATCTCGGGATTCGGGGGCTCTGTACCTCTTGTGCTTCCACTGCATGTTTGATATGAAGTTACAGTAGTTAAAATAGAGCACGAACGTCAATTTGCTTGCTGCCGTGGCTGCAGGAAAGGAGCGCACTGCTCACATACGAAGTAAGAAATGTGACAGTTGGCTGTCCAGTTCGTCTGGTGTATTCTCACTTCGTGCCGGCATTCTGCTTGAGGTGTGCGCTGCAAGTTTCAAGCTGCTTGCCGTTCCTCGCGTGACATAGCAATTTGTTGCTGTAGCATTTATTCTTTTGCCCTTGTGGCGAAACAGTGCACAATGAATGCTCAACCACCTCTGTGAGGGCACGTTTCACTTTAGTGTTACCGTATTTACTCACGTAATCCTTGCACTTCCATAATTCTCGCACCCGCCACATTGCCCGGCAAAAACACGATTCCCTTTTTTTCCTCGAGTAATTATCGCACCCCCGAAAATTGCCGCAGTAATGACGTCTTCTCGCTCCAGCCACTAATTATGATAGCGTGCGCCATCTGGCGCTTCCTAAGCATGGAGCGTACTATTATTGCACCGAGATTCAATCCAATCTAATCCAAGCCAAAGTGGCAAGTGGGCGTCGCGGCGTGATGTGTATATTGTGTTCGTAATCTTGTTACGTTATGGGGGGATACGGAAGCTACGCGGCTGCTTTCAAGTTGAAAGTGATTAATCATGCACTAAACAACGGCAACAGGGCCGCCAGTAGGCCCTTTGGAGTCGACGAGTTTTGTGTTCGCTACTGGTGACGGCAGCTGAGAGCCACCAAGGCGTGTTGGGCCTGCCGTGTGCCTAAGACTGGTATTGATGGTAAACTATATTTCTTCAGAAGAAGACTGCAGAGGATTCTGTTAAGGGGGCACGGGTCTTAAAAGGCTGAAAATCGCAAAAAAATACGATTTTTTGAAGTTGACATTTTCGGAATGTGCAACTATTTTTGCACTTATTTGGGAAGTTTCAAACTTCTCGCGTCATTATTTCTGTCACAAAATCAATTTATAACACCCTGTGAGGTGAATCTGAGCACAAATAGATGCTTAAGTCGCGCTTTTTCCACGCCGAACCGTTGCCGTCACATATGAGCTATTGTGGTCATCTTGGTCTCGTTCGGAAGGGTCGTTCTTCTTCAATTTCCTGCCACCAGTGGCTCGTCTTGCTCATTGGTTTTTCAGCAGAAACGCGTCATGGAGAAGCACCACCGCGCGATTCTGTTGGCTGCTTAGGGGCACATCACAGAACCTAGGCACCCGATTGGCCAAGTGGCGTTTCCGGCGTCTGCTTTTTTATCGTGACGCGCACGGACATGTGCCATTTCGTCATGGTGCTGTCGACTGCCTGCCACAGTAAAGAAGTTTCTCGCCGCACTAATTTGTGAAGCAGGTGTGGCGATTGTTCGTTCGCTTGAACTTCAGAAAGAGCCCCACTATCACTCAGGACAGAGAGGATAGCAAACTCACGGCGTTTAACGACGGTCGCCGAGTCACCGGTGTAGGCGTAACTCACGTACGAGCCTGTCGGTTGTCGACAATGTCGCTGAAAGCGGCAATGTTTTGGAGCTTTAACAGTTACAGGATGGCAAGTAAAAAAGCAGAAGTGAAGCTACAAGAGGTAGCAATCTTCGCAACGATGGAACGGAAGCGCAGTCTTATCGCTAAACGCGCCGATGCCGCGGGTTCCCCCCGTCTCACGTGCACTGCGTGACAGGTCGCCAGAGTGGAGTTTGCCGCGCGTCGGCAAACAGCAGAAAATCAATCCGTTTACGGTGAATGTGCTCGCCGCCTGCGCAATGAAGGCTACTGGCAACAGGTAGAGTGCTTGTAACGATGCGTCCGCAACGATGAACATATTGCGCCGCCGCCTCCACTAGAAAATGTGGCAATCTTACGTGAAAAGGAAACTAACACCTCGCTGCCCTTGGAGACTTGAAATTGATGAGCGAGTGCACGAGTTCGGTCTGCAACACCAACAACTCAATCTGGACAAGCCGGAAAGCCGCTTTATTATAGGACCTATCACGGATTACGCGCGCACATTCGTCGCACATAGGCGTCACCGAACTGGTAAGCGGCCTAGTTGGGAGACAAGCCCAAGGCGACCGCAATAGCTCGCAAGTGTGCCTCTGTGGAAAACATGCAGCGGACATTGAAAAAACGCCATTTAGGTGACGCAAAATAGAAGGACTACATGCCTAGTGCCTACTGAGAAAGCTGAATTTGCAAATCATTGTAAATAAACAGCTTTTCCATGCTACTGTCTGTCCAAAATGGACTTGTTATGTTTTTGCGTGATTTCTCAGAATTCAAATTTTGCTGCAGTTGCAAACTTGTCTAAAAGATATCTCTGCCTCCAGAGCAGCTGGAACTGTTATTTTTGTTGTGACATGTAGCTGTATCTTTAGTTTACACAACGGCAGTCGTGTCTTTCGTGTCCTTCTTGTCTCTGTGTCCTCGTTTTGTTCTCGCGCTATAACTATCGTCATGCCATACCAATTAGCCCAAGCTGCCAAACTTCTAAGGTAGGTGTGAATTTTTTATTGTTATCTTCAAAAATTTAATTTTTGCCAGAAATTGGTGCATAAAGGGGTAGTGTCTGCAACACTGAAGTGCAAGGTGCGACAAACCTTGCCAAATTTATCAAATAAAAAAAGCACTCCTACCATTGAGTAGCTTTTGTTCATTAGTATACAGGCATGTGCCAATAGTAGCTCTGCAATACAAATTTCCTGTCTCATTATACCGGCAAACAATAGCTAATTCATTTTAGGACATCTAGAAAAGTAATTAGTTTAAGGAAACAGTAATTGAATTTTGAAATCAGCATCAAAAACTCAATCACGCTGTGAATTTTCTTTATAAATGCATGAAAATATCTGAAATTTCGTCTCAGGTACAGTGTCCCCCCTTAAACAGCTTTCAGCCCAATACTAACATCCAACGCTTACCTTTTGAGGGCTCCTGTTGAGTGAAGAACGCTACCGCAACGCCCACAAGCTTTGCGGATGGTATTTTAACTCTTGACTATTTGCTTGCACTTTTTGCGTCTCAAATAAATCTTGTCTTGTGTTGAACCTTATTGGATTTTAATTAGTACTTCTCAAAGCTTGCTGTTAGTTGCTGGTGTGTGAATTTGGATTTGCGGCGACTTCGTTTTCTTTTTGGCTCTGTACGTTTTCGTGGCAAGTTTTCCCGCGTAATTCTGGCACCCCAACTTTGCATTGGTTTTCCACCAAAAAAAGTGCGAGAATAATGCGAGTAAATATGATATATCGATTCCTGAAGAGAGGGATCAACCACGCTTTTTTAGAAATCAATTTGAACAAAAGGTATGGTATGTTAAACATTTCTGAGGGAGTCAATTACAAGCTAGGATTTCATTGGCAAATAATCAATGTTCCATAACTTTTTTGTAATTTGTTTAGAACATTCATTATTGTTGCTCTGCAATCAGCTCCGATTCCAAATTATTGTGATATGCTGATTTACTTTGTAACTTTAGAAGAAAAGTTGCTTATTTAATATTTAATAATATAGAAACTATACTTTATACACAAAAAATAATAGCGTGTACGAAATAAGCACACAAATAGTATATATAAGCTCACCAAGCTTCATCAAAACTGATCTAAAAATAATTTTTTTTAAGTACCTTGTCTCCCCTTAACCAGAGAATGTGCCAATCTAACGGTAAAGTTTCCTTCCTTCAAACCTCAATATAACGAATCCGGATATAACGTTCATCAGTTATAACAAAGTGAATGAAAAAGGTCTTGTAATAGATGAAATGTTAGGAATATACTTTATACTGAATTTTTTTATATAATGAACTTATTTCTGTGCAAGATGCAACTTTGCTATAATGAGGTTTGAGTTTAAATGCATTCGTTTAGAGCCATGTCGTGTCTCGTGCAGGTGTTTCCCCTGACGGTGGAGATGCAGCAGCGGCTGATCCTTCAGTACCTGACACCACTGGGCGAGTACCAGGAGCTGCTGGGTGCCGTGCTGGAGGCCAAGACCCTGCACCTGCTGCTCCACTACGCAAACCTCAAGGAGAATCGAGACGTCCGGCTAGCCTTCGAAGCACTCAAGGTGAACTAAAGTTTAGCACTCATCTTTTATGTAACTGAAGTGGTACTAGTTTATCAGCAACAGCACACACACACACACCTTAATGTCGGGTAATTATCATATCGTTGAAGACAAGCCTGCCTGCTGTAGACTTGTTAAGGGGGGACGCGGCTTTGGGATCGCGAAAAATGGCAAAAAAATCGATTTTTTGAAACTCAAGTTTTCAGTTTCTGGAACCCTTTTTCTATCTGGTTCCACAATATCTACACTGAAAACCGCGCAGAAGTGCTTCGGAAAATTCGTTTCACCCACCTAGGTAGCAAAAATTTTTCAGGAAATGGCGAGAAACGGCGATTTTCAAAAAATTATAGCTTCGCGATGCTTGGGCCGGGAGCCGGCTTCTTGGGCTCATCCGAAAGAGCGTTTCTCCGTGTTTAACTTTCCCGCCTCAGCTGGCTCCTCCCTTTAACAACAAGCGAGCAAAAAAGCAAATGTTTGAAGGTCGTTTTGAGGCCCTTGATTGGCCGTGGCCGCCATGTTGCCTCAGCTCGCCTCGCCATTGGCCCGATGCTCGCTCCGGGAGATCGTCGTCTGCTGCTTGTGCGTCGCGAGGACATGGCTCTCGAAAATCGCCACTTCGTGACGTGTTCATGGCTTGATAGTCACTTAAGATATAACTACGCTTTAGTTACGAGCAGTAAGCGGATGCGCGATCAGGTTACTACGAGCGTCAGCGCGGTCTACGAGCGTCAGCGCGGTCTACGAGCGCCGCGCGTCATTGAAGTCGTCTTTAGCCCTAACTCCGCCGACTGTGGGCAGGAACGACCCGCTAGCGCATTCGTGGCGACGTGTTTCTTCGCAAGCAACGAAGCTGTAAGCGGCGGCACGATCTGATTACTACGAGTGGCCGCACCGGATGCACGATCAGATTACTACGAGCGGGCGCGCGGCGGTCTACGAGTGCGGCGCGTCATCGGAGTCGGCTTTAGGCCTAACTCCGCTGACAGCGAGACTGCGGGCAGGAACGACGCGCAAGCGCACTCTTGGTGACGTGCTTCTTCGCAAGGAATGTACCACATCACTCGCTAGCTCCTCCGAATATTGTACGGGCATTTTGCGCATCGGCAGCGGACAACACAGTCAAGCTCGTCACCCCCCCCCCCCCCCCCTTCACTGCCAAGGATCGCTCGGAACAGCGGCTAGCAGTTTCGCGCGTCGTCATTCGAAAATGCGATGCCAAGTGCAGTGCGTGCCGATTTTTTGTCTTCGTAGTTATTCATTTCGCGGATCGTCATCGAACGCCTCCGGCAAGTGCATTACGCGCCGGCTGCACTGTCCACGCGGCCGCGCACCCCACGGTCATATGGAGTGCCGTCAGTAAGCTTTTGTGATGCGATTCAGACGTGCTTGGAGCCGTGCTTGATATCTCCACGAACGTCTATGAATGTTCCGAGGTTAATGAATTGCTGTAGATTAGAATTTCCGCGACCGGCTGTATGATGATGCGTTTCACGACTAGAGCGGCGAAAGAGCATGTGTGAATCAGGGGCACGAATTTTTATATGCCCGTTTCGTGTCATTAATTATACTGCTAGAAATTCCCGTGCCACCAGTCTTCTGCCCATAACTTTGTTATTTGGAAAGAAGGCGTAGGCCGTCATGGTGTGATCCATTTTTCTGATGCAATAAACTTCTCTCCAAATAAAAAAAAAGTTCAGTGAATATTTGTAATCAAGTACTTAATTACGCTAACTACAACTTCAGCACAAAAAAGTATGTTTAATAATTTCAGTATATGGTTTTATTCAATTACAATCTTTTCTGTCATACTTATCACACCACTCCTTCATACAAAGAACTTGGTTTGAAATTCATACTTGTTCTTTGTAACTCATGAAAAGGAGTAAATCATGAAAAGAAGTCAAATATCACAAGACAAACCTGAGATCACAATTTTTAGGTGTCTCAGAGACGTAAAGAAAAGTTGAAACTTTAAACGCAGCTTTCTCAATACTGTTTTTTTTTTTTTTTTTTTTTGACATTATGCTCAGCCCCTCCACATGGTTCAGTGAAGAAATAATTTGTTTCTCGTAAAGTACGTGGTATCGCTTCAAAATTTTTATGAAAGCACTGTGAGGTTATTCTTAGTGTCTGTGACAATTTTCATCAATATCCAACGAGAAACAAAAAAGTTCATTGAAAAAAAGCCTGTCGAAAACTTCGACAGGCTTTTTCTCACAAGTGTGTTTTGGACATTGTGCATTGCTCGTGGAAAGAGTAGCACGAGAATGACTGAACCGATTTTGATTCTGTTTTTTTTTTCCTGAATCCCTGAACACTGCTTGTGGGTACAGCAATCTTCAATTTCTGTTTTGTGGCCCTGTTATTTTTCTAGACGATGATTTGTCCGTGCCATTGTTTCTGACAATGTGTGTCGGCAGCCAAGATGATCTCTAAAAAAAAAAACGAGAACTTATTAAAAAATTCCGAGAGTGTCATACCCTGTAGCTTTCTTTTGAGTAAAGATCAACATCATTCGCAGCTTCCTGGCATGTTTTGTTGCAGCGCTAGGCTTTCCACGAGCAGACCATGTAATTGGATCGTGTAGCATTATGTAACTTGAGAACTACTGAAGCTATCATGATGAAACTGCATATTTCCCTATTCTAGACACTTATGAGTATGCATGCCAAATTTCATTGCTGTAGGTCAACAAATAAAAAAGTTTTTTTTCAAAGCCACCTCCCCCCTTAAACTGAACCTAGAGGCATTAGGTAACGATTACTGCGAAAACCTATGATGCCTAAGTAAACATGAAAAGTAACCATTTGCAAGGTGTCAACGCTAAGTGATACAAGAAAATTGTGTGATGACATCACGATCAGCAAAATTTGTGACGTCATTATGACTTTGTTGCTTGGTGAAAGTTGGGCTGATCTGAGAGGCACTGCATCACCGCTTGAGGTGGGAAAATCTGGAATGTTAGGTGTAGAAAGTAGGCTTGTGCGAATAGTGAATTTCAGGTTTGAAGCGATAAGTGATTTGGGTTGAATAAGTTTGAATCGAATTTGATAAGTATATAGCATATATTAATAAGAAAAATGGGCACATTTGTCATGGCCCAACTAACCTGCACAATACTTCTAGAAATATGAAACAAGGCTTGTGCAAATGCCTTTTTTTTTTGTTCAAAAGAAGCGGAAATTACATTGAATGGTAGCACGATTCGGCTTTTGGTAAAATGCTAGTGATAACCTGTAAAATATGTTACATTTCAAAATTTGCCATATTTAGCTTATATTATAAGCCAATATAACAAATCTGTAAACTTCAAGCAAAAGTCGCAGCTTTGCTGCAAAGGCAAAGCAGTGAATGTCATAGCAACAAATAAGAAGGTCACGCGAAGAATAGCAAGCAAATAAAACCGTGCCCTGCGTTTTTTAGGCACAAATGATGCATAAAATGAATTCACAGGTGCAGATGAACGCGACTAACTTATTGCTATTAGTGCAGAACTTGCAAAACGTGCATAGCCGCTGGAGACCTAGCTGTCTCTCAAGAAGCTTTCCCGGTGGCTAAGTATCTCGCGCACATGTTGTCAAGTGCAGTTCGCCACTCTGGCAGGGATGATTGCACAAAATCAGTTCCACAGAAAAGGTGAAGGAATGATTGTTATAGCGACAAATTGCAATGTTATACGAAGTGAGGCTGGCAGCCACCTCATTCAGGTCTGATCTCACGCAACCCTACAAAACACTGGTGTAAGAGAATACAGCCACTCAAGGTACACTTTGGCACCGTTTTTTCGTGCTGAGAGTGCAGCCCGTAGAAACTCCTGCCTTCTGTGGGGGCACAAGGAGCGCGCTAATCGTTGCTGCCATGGAGCGGCAACCATAAGTGCCTCCCCCCCTCTTGTTCGCTCACGAGATGAGACTGCGCCCAGATGACGCAGCCAGAAAGGCAATGTTCGCTCTGCAGAAAGAGGAAGCTAGCACATCCTTTCCCATATGTGTGTGTGTGTGAGTGAGCGTGTGCGTGTGTGTACATATATACTTATATGTGAATGACGGCGGCCGCAAAAAACTATCTGAGAATGTCCATATAATTGCTATCACAATAAAATGTTGAATCGATGTGAGCATAAGGTGTTTGTTTTTGTTTTTTTTTGCGTAAAGTAGGGCTTCATGGCAGCCTGAATTTCCCCTGGATAGGTGTTTTCATTGCTTAACGTTTGTACACTGCAAATTAAAACCACCTTTTTAGGAGTTTACATGCAGATTACTATTCACTTATTCATTAATTTTGAATACTGAGAAATTTTGAATAACTTAAATTCAAATCTACACAAATTCGAATACTGTAATATTCGTCCCTATATTCGAATACTTGCACAAGCCTAGTAGAAACGTATCGGGCATCAATGTCATTCATTGCAGAAGGAAAAGAACCTTCAAGTAATCTTGAAAGAGTGGGAAGGGGTCATTCATTTTTTTGTTCTGTTTGACAGGAATTCAAACGACTGAGAGATGAACAGGGGTTTTTAATTCAAGGATGAAACCAGTCGTATGAGCAGCAGCAGTTCCATTTAAGCAGCAATCTAGCACTTTTATCTACTCTTTTCTACACCGTGATAGCCCTAAAGCCCCACATTTTAATTTTTATCTCTGAGCAAATTTTCCATATCTTCAGTTTTTGAGCAACCCTCTTTTGCCCCTATCACGTGCAGTACTTGGCAGCCTTGCTGTGCCACAAGAAGTTTGCCCTGGAGTTCATCGCCGTGGGTGGTCTGCAGCGTCTGCTGGAGGTTCACCGGCCGTCAGTGGCCGCCACGGGCGTTTCCATCTGTCTCTACTATTTGGCCTACTCCGAGGATGCCATGGAGAGGGTAAGCGAAGGTCATTGTAGTTTGAAAAATTGGAAGGACTCTTAGGACGCGGTTTTGGTATCGCGAAAAATGGCAAAAAAATCAAGTTTTCAGTTTCTGGAACCCTTTTTCTATCTGATTCCAAAATATCTACACTGAAAACCGTGCAGATATTCTTCAAAAAATTCGTTTCACCCTCCTAGGTAGCTAAAGTTTTTCTGGAAATGGCAAAAAACATGGATTTTCAAAAAATTATACCTTTGCGAGGGCGCAACAGGGAGCCGTCGTCTTGGGCTCATCAGAAAAAGCTTTTTACCCTGTCCAAATTTTCCTGCTCAGCTGACACTTCCATTTAAAAACAAGCGCACAAAAAGTAGATATTTAAATGTCGTTTAGAGGCCCCTGATTGGCTGCGGCGGCCATGTTGCCCCAGCTCGCCACGCCATTGGCCCGATGCTCGCTCCGGGGAATTGTCGTCTGCTGCTTGTGCGTCACGAGGATATGGCTATCTAAAATCACTACTTCGTGACGTGTTCATGGCTCGACAATCACTTAGGATATAATTACGCTTTAGTTAGGAGTGCAAGCGGATGCACGATCAGATTACAAAGAGCGTGCGCATAGTCTATGAGCGCGGCGTGTCATCGCGAGCGAGCGCCAAATATACGAGCGCGGCGCGTCATCAGAGTCGTCTTTAGGCCAGAACGCCGCTGATGGCGAGACTGCGGGCAAGAACGACGCGCTAGCACACTCGTGGCGACGTGCTTCTTTGCAAGCAACGAAGCTGTAACCGGATTTAGTATCGGATTACTACGAGCGATGACGCTGTCTACGAGCGCGCCACGTCATCGGAGTTGTCTTTAGGCCTAACTTCACTGACGGCTAGACGATCTTTGCGGGCAAGAATGCCATACTAAAGCACTCGTGGCAACGTTCTTCCTTGCAAGCAACGAAGCACATCACTCGCTAGCTCCTCAGAACCGCTGACGCGCATTTTATGCATCGGCAGCAGACCCCCCTGTCAAGCTCGTCACCACCCCCACCTCCCCCTCCACTGCCAAGGATTGCTCGGAACAGCGGCTAGCAGTTTCGCGCGACGGCATTAGAAAATGCGATGCCAAGCGCACTGAGTGCCAGTTTTGTCATCGTCGGTACACATTTCGCACACCGTCATCGAACGCCGCCGACATCATCGCGTGCCGGCTGCGCTGTCCTTGCGGCCGCGCACTTCACGGTCATATGGAGGGCTGTCAATAAGCTTTTGTTGTTCAATTCAGACGTGCTTGGAGCCTTGCTTGGTATCACCCCAAGCGTCTGTGAATGTTCTAAGACCATGAAAGCCTCGTAGATTAGCATTTCCGCGACCGGCCATATGAAGATGCGTTTCACGGCTAGAGTGGCAAAAAAGCATGTATGAAGCAGGCGCACAAGCTTTTATACGCCCAACTTGCGTCATTAAATAAACTCCTGAAAACAATTTCTTTGCCACCAGTTTTCTGCTCATAACTGTTAGTCATTTGGAAAGAAGACATAGGCTGTGAGCCATTTTACTTATGCACTAAACTTTTCTTTTATAAAAAAAATGTCTAGTGAATGTTAATAATCAAGAAGTACCTAATTACACTAATGATAGCTTGAACACAAAAAAAGTAATCATTTCAGTATATGGCCTTGTTCAATTACTATCTATTCTGTCATTCCTATTATCACACCACTCCTTGATACGGAGAACTTGGTTTGAAATTCATATTTGTTGTTTGTAAATAAAAGAAGGTTATAAAAAATATAGGCAACAAAGGCACACTCGGCAGTGGCCAGATGCCTGAGAAATCAAATGTCACAAGCCAAACCTAAGATCACAACTTTTAGGTGTTTTAGAGACGTGAAGAGAAGGTGAAACTTCATACGCAGTTTTCTCAAAACTGTTTTTTGGCATTATGCTCAGCTCGTGGAGCAGATATCTAGGCAACCACTGCACAGATTTTGATTCCTTTTCTTTTGTAAAGCTCCTTGAACTGTGCTTCAGGTGGCTGCCATCTTAGTTTTTCATTTTACTCCGTAAAAAATTTTTCGTAGGGTTTCTTGTTTGTAGTGCAAGTGTGCTCATTGCAGTGTCGCTGGAGAAAATGTCAAAACTTAGTGTTGCAAAAAAATTTTGAAAACGCTGCCCCCTTCAGCATATATTTGGCTGTGTGTTCAGTAATTGCCAACTATTTTTGTCGTTTTATAAATCCCCCAGCCCCTCCACGAGGTTCAATGAAGAAATATATTGGATCTCATTGAGGGGGGACACAGGTCTTAGCAGGCCAAAAATCGCGAAAAATTCAACTTTCTGAAGCTGACATTTTTGAAAGCGGCACCTATTTTTACGCTTATCTGAGAAGTCTCTAGCTTCTCGCGTCATTATTTCTGGCACAATATCAATTTATAACATCCCTGTGAGATGAATGTGAGTGCAAATAGACGCTAAAATCGCGCTTTTTCCGCGCCAAACTGTTGCCGTTACACACGAGCTATCGTGTTCATCTTGGTCTCGTTTGTAAGGGTCGTTCTTCATCTTCAATATCCCGCCACCGTTGGCTCACCTTACTCATTGGTTTTTTAGCAAAAACGCGTCATCTAGAAGCACTAGCGCACGATTCAATTGGCTGCTTGGGGCACGTGACCAAATTTAGGCATCCGATTGGCCAAGGGGCGCTTTCGGCGTCTGCTTCACCATCGTGAAGCGGGTGTGGCGGTGGTTCGTTCGCTGTGAACTTCAGAAAGATCCCCGCTATGGCTCAGGACAACGAGGATAACCAACTCGACGCGGTCAACGGCGGTCGCCGAGTCACCGGTGTAAGCCTAACTCACGTACGAGCCCGTACGAGGCATGTCCCTAAATGTGGCGTTGTCGGGTTGGACTATTGGAACTGATCGAATTCAAACTCTAAGAGGTCCTAAAATTTGTTCGAATTAAAAGAAGTTAGAAATAATGAAAACTAAATGAACGGAGCACTTACGATGCAGTGGCGAGCTAATTCACTAGGGGGAAGTTTCAGAAGACTTACATTTATTCACAAATCACAGGACATCCGTCATTAATTGAAGCAATCGGTGATTCACGTCTGCACACGTTTGCCTTGCAGCGAGTCAGTCGATTTCGCACACAGTTTGCAAAGCATTTCTACTTCGCCTTCTTCATTCTCCTGGCAAGAGAAGTTGCGTGCAGCAATGTCTAGCGCCGACACTCTCTAAAGACGGCGACTGCGTCTCGGCTGCTACCTTCTGCCGAGCTGCAGCGTAGCTAGGGCATGACGAGAAAGGAGGAGCGTTTCCACGCAGAGAGAAGCAGATCAGCATTTGAGAAAGAACCTATGTGCGGATGCTTATTCTCTCTTTTTTTCTTTCTCTCTCCGCACGCAGCGTTGAAAGGAGAAGGGTCATTTGGGTGCATGTTAAAAAAACCCCAAGTGGTCGAAATTTCCAGAGCCCTCCATGGCGTCTGTCATCATATGGTGGTTTTAGGACGTTAAACCCCACAAATCAATCAATCAATCAAAAGAGAAGGGTCTCTACGTGGCAGCAACGGGAAAGGGGGAGGCGTGGCACTGGCGCGTCGCAAGTCGGCATTTGAGAGAGAGCCAACACTCCTCGACAACTTTTTTTTCCTCTCTTTCATCGCGTGCGGCGTTGAAAGAGGAAGGTTTCTACGTGGCAGGGATGGAAAAGATAAAAGCGTGGCACAGGTGCATCGCATATCAGCATTTGAGAGAGAGCAAACATTCCGCTGCAGCCTTTTCTTTCCTCTTCTTCTTTTCCTTTTTCACGCACGGCGTTGAGGTGTTGGAGATGCCGTCACGGGATTGGGCGTGGTGCTGAGAGCACTTTCCAAGCGCGGTATGTTCGAATTAACCGTCGCAAGTGCTTGCGCATTTGAATTACAGGGCGTTTTCGCCTATCGGAATACGCATAGCTTTGACTGGACCGCAGCGTCACTTCCAATTAACTGGAAGTTCGAATTAAGCGTGTTTGAATTCATGAGATTTAACTGTATTTCCCTGGCGCATCTGGCTTGAAAGTAGAAAAACAATTCTTTGTCTTCACAACAATGCCATGTTATCAGGCTTTTGCGAATAATAGTTAATTTTAGGTTCAAAGCGAATTCAGAGGAATAGTAATTTGGTTTGAATAATTTATAATAGACTTCGAATAGTATGTATCACATACAGAAAAAAACATTTGTCATCACCCAAATGACCTGCCCAATATATATTATTAAATTCAGATGTCCCAATATCTTCTTTAAAGGGCCAGTCAACAGGCTCTGACTTTTTTTACACCCCCCAACAAGCTCGTGCATTTTTCCTACGCCTGACGAACCTCCTACCACGCGCAGTGATGTCAACTTGGCCATCGGCGGCGTTGACCTCATTTCTGGTTGTTGAGACATGTTTTAGACCAATTAACGAGCTGCGTGGAAGGAGGTTGGTCACGCGTAGGAAAGGTGAGCGAGCTTGCTTAGGGGGTGTAAAAAAAGTCGGAGCCTATTGACTGGCCCTTTAAAATGGAAACGACACATGTGCAAATGTCATTCTTTTTGGTCCAAAGGAAGTGACAGCAACTTTTGAGTAGTAGCAGGGCTTTACTTTCGGTAAAACGCAAGTGATAATATGTGAAAGATGCGACGTTTTAAGATTTGCTATACTTAGAGCATACAAGCTGGTATAACAAGAATATAACCTAAACGTAAAAAATGATAAGTCGATGTGAGAGTCACATGTTCATCGTTGAAGCGAAGCTTCGCGGCAGTGCAGATTTCTGAAAAAGGTTTTCTCAGGTTATAGTACATCTGTGCAGGAGCGAAACTATCTTTACAGATAGATTTTATGCGGATTGGCACGCACCTATTCATTTGTTTAGAATGCTTTGAAATTTCTAATAAAATGAATTTGAATAGAAGTTAATTCACATACGTTAATATTCGTTGGAATATTTCGCAGTCTCGAATATTCGCTCGAGCCTGCATATTTTTTTTCATATATCCCACCCCTGCCTATACCCCCCCCCCCCCCTGCAACTATAAACTGCAGAAAAAACTGCAGAAAAATTAGAACGGGGCAAAGAGTGGATCCCATTTGTTGCTTTGAATGAAGCCACCCTCCTTGCGTCATCATGATGCAGTACCACGAGACCAACCTGCCCACGGAAAATGCTGTAAACCTTTTAAAAGTGTTGTATCGAATTATATATATTGCAAAACTGTGTTTAACGTATAGTACTCTCTTCATCTTTTTTTTTTTTGCAGGTTTGCATGCTACCTCAATCCGTCCTGGCTGACCTAGTTGCGTAAGTGCCACCATTTATTTATTTTTACTTTATTTTATTTATTGTTTTGTGTGCGTTCCTTAGCACAGGGCAAAAAATGGGTGAGGGGCGACCAAGCACCTTTACCTTTAGCAAGACACAGCTGTTTATCTTGTTTAGAAGTGCTTTGAATATTCCACTGAATGGTTGAGTATTTGAATTCGCTTCGATTCGAATTTGAATGATCGAATATTTTTCAAAATGTTCGCAATGAACGAATTAGTGTATATTAATCTGCATGTAACCACCTTTAAAGAGGGTTTCACTGCAATCTAAGATTGCTAAGCCATGAAAACGCCTATTCAGGGGAAATTTGCTTTGCCGCGAAGCCCTCCTTTAAATTTAAAGGGGCCGTGCAAAATTTACTGCACATGGCCAGAGAACGCTGCTGATCAGTAGTCGAGGCTACCGAGAACACGCGAGGCAAATATTATGGCGCAGCATGCAGCCTGTAATTCACAATAAATTTTCAAAGCTAAAAATTGCTTTCTTCCTTTGGCAAATGACGCTACAAACTCAAAAAGCACTTGTCACAGCCAAGAAGGAATGTATGGCTCTGACCACAGCCGTTGGCTGATTTGAGCATGGCGCGCTCGTCGTTACCAGGGCGGCTACAGGAGGCTGCCGCTTGTCTACGAGCACATGCGCGATCGCACTGAAAATCCGCGTATTTGAAGAAAAAAAAAAAAAGGGCTCAAGGTCACAAAGTGCATGTGACGCTTTTTTTTTTTTCACCGTGCCATTCCACTCTGCTTAGCTTCCAGCTATATCGTCAGGATGAGAAGAGAGAATGCAATTGCAACGTCCAACAAATTTTTGGAACTCTGCTCGTACTGCACTGATTCTAGAAACTTTGCGGCGGTAAACTTGTGAGGCAACAAGCATGTTTACTGGCTCCATGGCTACTTGAAAAAGTGTTGCATGGACCCTTTAAAGGATCATGTTATCCTCAAATCAATTCTTCATTTTATTACGCTTGTTATGGTGGCTTATGTGCTCCAAGTATAATAAATTTTAAAGCATGAAGTATCTTGCAGGTTATTAATCGCATCCTACCAAAACTACTACTCAAGGTTGTTTCGACTTCCTTTGAATGAAAAAAAAAAAAAAATGGTGTTTGCATACAGCCCCTATTTCAATTCAAAAGAAATGTTGTGCAGGTTAGTTAAGGGGGGAAACTACCCTGGAGACCGAACTTTATTTTTTAAGATATCTGGATGAAACTTTCAGGGGTTGTTCACTACAATAAAACTAGCACAACTGCTAAGTTTCACGAAGCTGTGTTTCTTAGTTTCAGAGTTATTGAGGTTTAACTGGTTGCTTCACATGGGTGCCTGAGGAAGAGTCGTGAGAAATCCCAGGACATAGTAGAAAGCTGAAATTCATTGTGGTCATTCCTTGATAGCTATCCCAGGGCGCTACAAAGCCGTTTTTTTTTTAATTCCCCCCCCCCCCCCCCCAAAATTTTCACGCAACTTTGAATTTGATGTAACCAGTAATGACCAGATTCATCAAAAATTAATTGTTTATTATAAATTAACAGCACCAATTTTCAAAAAAAGGAGCTTGTTACGCCCTTGCAAGGTCATTCAGGAACAGAATAAAAAAAAACGGCACACAAATCTGATGAACGGTTTTCGAGTTCTTGCTTTCCTCGGCACCACAACTAGCAAAAAAATTCGTTCTGAGAAAACAGGCCGAGAAAGTTCAAAACACGTGTTTTCTTCAAAAAGCTCCAGCACAGTAGCTAGAAGTGTCCTGGCGCACTCTTTTCTTCTTTTGCCTGGCCTCCATCTTCTCTTGGTGTCTTTTAGAATTCTTTTTTAGGCGTAAAGCGTCTTTTTCACGAGCTCGCTGGATGGCCAGATGACCTGGTTGAAGTCCAATGGAGTCCGATATCACTTGGGTTGCTTTGCAGCAGCCGGCATTGTAGCGCAGCACTGCTTCATGCAGTGCTGTTTCTACCGCGATCAAGGATGAGTGTTGTTCCTTCGGCATCAGAGACCACAGAATGGAGTGGAATGATTCTGATGCATTTTGCGTCTTTGCTCCCAGGCAGCGCTGAAGGGAACAAACGGGGGTTAAGGATATCATAGCTGAAATCAAGATGAAGAAATGGACATGGGCAGGGCATGTAGCGGGTAGACAGGATAACCGCTGGTCACTAAGGGTAACTGACTGGATTCCCAGAGAAGGGAAGCGGGCTAGAGGGAGACAGAAGGTTAGGTGGGCAGATGAGATTAAGAAGTTTGCGGGTATAAATTGGCAGCAGCAAGCACAGGACCGGGTTAACTGGCGGAACATGGGAGAGGCCTTTGTCCTGCAGTGGACGTAGTCAGGCTGATGATGATGATGATGATGATGAGCGCTGAAGAAGCGACTTTTGTGACAGTCTTTCGTAGATGGGCAGCATAGCTGCAGCGACATAGTCCGGTAGGCTGTGTTTATGTTTTGGCTGTGGCTCACGCTTTGCCTCCGCAGCTCTATGGCGGCACCACGATTGAGCCCCCTTTGGGCAAAGTTCATGGTGAGGGTCCTGGTCAGTCGATGTGACGTGGTGATATGTTGCCATCACTGCACGCTGCATGGCTGTTAGGTCAGTTGAATTGTTTCTCAGGGCCCAACCATAATATCCTGTCAGCTTTTCAATGAGGGCTTTAGTCAGCTTCCCCTTCCCACTCAGTGGCTTATCACTTTTCTGCACAATGTTCGAAGAGCACTTCCAATCCTTTTCTGAACATGGTTCAGACATTCTTCTTTTACAATTGGCACTAGCCCGTACACATTCTCTTCTGTGAGGGCAGCGAAGGTACGGCTGTCTCCGTCGGACACAAGAGTGGTGTACCGCAGGCCATGCTTGGATACAGACCGCCCAAAGAGAGTCAAGCCTGCCTCCACTTCCATGCTTCCCGATTTTGCGTCTGTGTTTTTCTGGCAAATGTGGTGCTTCTTCCAGCTTTCGTATGCTGCATCTCCAGGTTTGGGCCCTGTTTGGCATCCAAGGCAGTGGTTTGAAAGAACTACAGCATCCAAGATGAGACCTGTAAAGAAGTCAATTACCGATCCCACTCCGATGTGTGATGTGTGACCCCGCTTATGCCATGTGCCATCGTACACTACGGTGATGTCCTTGCAGAAGCTGAGGTCCATTTCTTTATATGTTTTGATCACTGCTGTGGCAGAATCAGCATAAAACTTCTCCAAAGCGGTGGCCTCTGGCTTCCTGAACGTTTCTTTCAAGTGCTTTTGAAACGTCTTGTGGTGAAGACCTCTGTAAGAGACGTTCATGGCAGCCCAAAAGTCATTAAGAGCTGTTTGCCCCTTGCCTATTTGCTTTATAGCCATTATGGCGCGGACATTTACATCGAAGGCCTGCGTGTCCTTTTTGCGAGGTGATGTCCATAATTTATCGACGGTGCCACAAGAGGCGCACACGACTTCAAGTTTTGTTGCAAGTCCAAGCTTGGTGCTCTCTCGGACAGTCATAGCACCTTTCAAACATTCTTTGCACACTGTGCGGCTGAGCACGGCGTTAAAGATGTTCATTTGAACGAGCGAAAAATGTTCGCCCTCACTTGTCACTGCAGGTGCAAGAGCCGGCTGCATCAGTTGAAATTTCTTCTGCGTCGCCGGCGTAGACTCGAGTTCAGCGAAACGGTGTCACGACGTTTCGCATTCGCATTGATTTCTTCCTTCGTTAGGAAACGCGTCCGCAGATGAAGCGACGGTCCACTCACGCTCCATGGCGGCCCCGATTCAGACGAAGTGCTGGGTCCGGCGATATCAGAAGCACTCGGTGTCACGCTCGATGGCACCGATTCAGACGAAGTGCTGGGTCCGGCGATATCAGAAGCACTCGGTGTCACGCTCGATGGCACCGATTCAGACGAAGTGCTGGGTCCGGCGATATCAGAAGCACTCGGTGTCACGCTCGATGGCACCGATTCAGACGAAGTGCTGGGTCCGGCGATATCAGAAGCACTCGGTGTCACACTGGATGGCATCGATTCGGAGCACATGTCGAGCCCGGCGATCTCGGAAACACTCGGTGCATTTGCGGCTCCAGCCACACTCGATGTGTCGGATTCTCGACTGGCGACAGCCGACAACACATTCCCGTCGCTGCAAGCGTCTACGCAGTTGGCACCCGCAGCAGAATAGCGGAATTTCGATGATCGTACAAGCCGCATAGCGCGCCTCTGCGCACCGGACTTCCGCACTGACTTCGGCTTCGTTGCCGGCATCGCCCGCAACAACAAAGACGAAAGGCACAGAACTAGTGCAAAAAGAAAAAAAAAACGAGAGAAAATGATCGAAGAGATAGCACAAGGCGAAGAGCGGCTCGTAAGCAGACGTCTGTCGAGGCGGACGGAGCAGAGAGCAACAACGAAGCGAGCGCGCTGGACGCGCCATCGAGAGGAGCGACCGCCCCTGCTGCTGCACAGCAGCCAATGGCGGGCACGCTTTCTCCCGCGAGATATGAATGCGCTGCTCTAGCCAATCAGCGCTCCGCATCGCATCGCGGGAAAACGCCAATAGCGTCTCAACTGTGCTGCCGACGCCATTTTTCAAGGCGGGGAACGAGAGAGGAAGAATTCACGGTCAAAACAACACCAAGATGGCGCGGGGCGACCGCATGGTCCGGGAATGGCGCGCGCGCGAAGTTTGGTTTGATTTCGGGATTTGCGCCTGTTTTGGACGTCGCGGCGGCCTCGAAAATAGTATTTTTTTTTTTGCACTTTGCGGTTGAATTAGGTGCTGATAATTACAGAATAGGTAGTTTATGAGACATACAACCCAAAAATGTGGTTTTTCAGAAACCGACTTTTTCGTGATTTTTCGGTTTTCAAGGGCCGCGTCCCCCCTTAAGTTATGAGAAATATTCCCCCTTTTTTTTATAGGTCATACATACCATTAGAATTCTATTCAAAATTATTTGATTAAAATCACTATTCGCTTCAACCTAAAATTTACTATTCGCACAAGCCTATTTTTCAGTGATTTTTCTTTTCTATCTGTTAGTTCAAATTTTTATCATATTCGTAGTTTCTGTGCATGCACGCTGGAAGTTTCTATTACATTACACTCAAACCTCATTATATCCGAAAATAAGTTTGTTATATGAAAATTTGTTATAAATGTAATTCCAAACACTGTATCTATTGCAAGACAATTTTTCGTATATTGCATTATAACTGGTATTTCATTTTTGTTATATCTATGTTGGTTATGTTGAGGTATGACTGTACTTTGAAATGTTCTAGGTTGGTACCAGCTTCCATTGTAAGCCCTGCTTAATGTCGCTTGCTTATTCATTGTGCTGCTTACATTTCCTGCTACATTTTGTATTGTTAAATTGCCCCCTAACTTATGATCACACTGGCAGCGTGCTTAACAAAATAAGCAAATGAAATGTCTTGTTGGTGGTTGGTCCTAATTGCGCAGCTGTACGACATTAATGGTCTCGAGGTGTTATTTTTCCAATCCGCATTAAATTCACAAGGCGGCATGTCGTAAACTGTTCATCGTATCCTTGGTTCTTTTTTTGCTTTGTCCCCAACATTGCCGGAACACTTGCTGTTAGAGATTGGAAGGCCTATTGTGCCTCAAGACAGTCTAAAGACCCAATTGTGATTGGCATCTTTTCGGGTAACGCAGGTACGCCTTGTGGCTGCTGGAGCGCTCTCACGACTCCAGCCGTTGCCATGCAACCATGTTTTTTGGCCTGGCATTCCCCTTTCGCTCGCTGCTGGAGCTCTTTGACCAGCAGGACGGGCTACGCAAGCTCCTCAACGTGATGAGCACGCTGGACGTTTTCGTACGCGGTAGCAACAGCGACTCGGCGACCCCGTCGGATGACCAGGTGTTTGCCAGCCGTCAGACAGCGCGGCACGTATGCGTGGCCCTCAAGCGTTACTTCGAAGCACACCTGGCGCACAAGGCGGACCACCTGCGGAGGTCGCACACTCGCAACGCCACTGCCACCAGCAGCGGCACCAGCATCACCAGTGCGACCTCGGCGTCCTCCCCTCCTCCATCCCAGTCTGCCTCTGCGACAACTCCGTCCGCTTTGAGGTTGGTGTCGAAGTTCGTGAGTGGGTTAAGGGGGACACAGCTTTTGTATTGTGAAAAATTGATTTTCTGAAAATCTAGTTTTCAGTTTCTGTAACTCCTTTTCTATCTGATTCCATAACATTTACCCTGAAAACCACGTAGAAGTGCTTCAAATGATTCATTTCACCCTCCTGGGTTACGAAAGTTGTTTTGAAAATCGCGAGAAAACTGCAATATTAAAAAAATTATACCTTTGCGATGGCAGAGCTGAGAGCCGCCTTCTTGGGCTCACCGAAAAGAGCATTTGTCTGTGTTCAAATACGTCTCTTCAGCTTGCTCCTCCATTCAGAAAAAAACACAAAAATCAAGTAATTGTTGAATATTACGAGGACTTTGATTGGGCGTGTCTGCCATGTTTTTCCCAGTTTGCCTTGTCATTGGCTGATACTTGCTCCGGGAAATCGTCGTCTGCTCCTCGTGCGTTGCAAGTACACGGCTGTCGAAAATCGCTACTTCGTGAAGTGTTAACGGTTCAACGATCACTTAGGATATAATAACGCTTTAGTTAGGAGCTGTAAGCGAATACTCGGACGGATGACGATGGTGCGTCATGCTTGTAGACCGTGCGGAGTCGTCTTAGTCCCCTGGTGGCGAGACGAACCTCGTACTTTGCAGGCAAGAACAACACGGCAGCGCAATTGTGGCAATGTGCTTCTTCACAAGCAACAAAGCACATCACTTACTGGCTCATTAAAACCGCCAATAGCCATTTTACGCATCAGCAGCGGATCGCTCAGTGAAGTTTGTCAGACCCCCCCCCTCTGCCAAGGATTTCTCGGAACAGCGGCTAGCACTTTACGGGTCGGCACACGAAAATCTCTCGGCTCTATCTTCCTTCTGAAAACGTTCCCTGCGTACAAAGAAACTATATTTCTTTCAAAAAAGTTATCTTTGTTGCTCGGTCATTCCCTCCGGATATTCACGGAAAAAAAAAAGAGGCAACATTTGGGATAACACTAGCTACGGTGCCAGTATGGCAGATCCAGATTGCCAGTTGCTGTAGCTGAACTCTTAGGTGAAAACTTTTGTTGCTGCTAATACGGCCAAACAACAGTCGAAGTGGACGTCGCTTTTTCCTCTAGCTTGTTATTGTGATCCTAATGACGTCAGGATATATCACCCTGAAACAAAAATTGCAGCTGCTGTTTTTATTGCCAATGACAATGAGCTTCGTTCCTCTGCAGATCCTCGTGTTTGTGCTTTGACTTGTCAACATAGAGGTGGGTGATTCTATGCGCCAACTTCAGAGGCCTGTCACTCACCATGTGTCAATTTAGCCAGCTCAAAACACTGTGTGCTTACTTTTACATGCTCGCTGGGTGAACGAATACTGCTCATCAAACTTACCAGTACTGCGTATTGCTGCAGAAGATAACGTTGCTGGTGACACTACCGTGGTTGAGTGAACTGATGGGCAACTGGCCCTGTGCATGGGGCCATACCAAGATGATATTTTCTCTCAATATATATAACCAATAACAAATTTCTCGTGTATTTTAGCTTAAAAGGTGATCTTTTGTTTAGTGTATGAAAATATCACATGACGGACTTTGTGTTTGCTTGCACACCAATTAGTATTAATTAATGAAAAATGCACAAATTAACATGTTACCACCTGCTCTTTCATGGTATGTAAGAGCGATAGCATTGAAATAAAGTTGTGTGAATTAACTTAAATTTGGGTAATTAGGACAGACATTCCTTCATTATTCACCTCTGAAAGAGAGCCCCGCCACAGTGGTCTAGTGGCTAAGGTACTCGGCTGCTGAACCGCAAGTCGCGGGATCGAATCCTGGCTGCGGCAGGCTGCATTTCCGGTGGAGGCGGAAATGCTTGTAGGCCCGTGTGCTCAGATTTGGGTGCACGTTAAAGAACCCCAGGTGGTCGAAATTACCGGAGCCCTCCACTACGGCGTCTCTCATAATCATATGGTGGTTTTGGGACGTTAGACCCCACATATCAATCACCTCTGAAATAGATACCTTCTACGGACATTTCCTGCTGCATGTGATATTGCGTGGGGTCACCCCTTTCTCTCTTTGAATTTGTGCTCATGCAGGAGCGTGGAGCCGTGGTCGTCGTCCGCCAGCAGCACCATCATGTCGTCAACACCAGTGTCTGCGGTGGTGTCGACGGTGGTCGGCCACCGGTGTCGGGCGGCACGCTTCACGAGTGAGGCAGTGTCGGAGAACATGTGGACGCTGCTGGAGCTCCTTCCCGCCCGCGCGCGCTGGTTGCCCGTTGAAGAACTGGTGCGGCTGGGCGGGGTGTCGCTGCTGTTGCAGACCGGTAGCGCTCTCGTACGACTGGAACCACTCGGGCAAGGCGGACACCGTGCGTGCCGCCCTGGACGTTCTCGCAGTCTGCTCGGTGGTTCCGCGAGCGCAGATCGCCCTGTGCCAAAACGTGGCCCTGCCCTCGGGCCAGGTCCGCTCGGCTGCTGGCATGAGGTTGGTGAAAATGGCTTCTCTGGACATCTTCTAGCAGAGTTGTGGTCTGGGTCAGTTGGTGCATATTCTTTAGGATTTGGAGAAAGAAAAAGCTGACAAAATAATAAGGATGACGTATAAAGCAGCTCTGCGACTACCACAAAGCACTTCAACTGCGAAGCTATTAGCGCTCGGACTTCACAATACAGTCAAACCTCAATATATCGAACACGGATATATCGAATTATTGCCTATATCGAACGGTTCCTATATCATGCGGGAAATCGCATGCATTATTAATTTTTTATTTCGAACAAAGTTTGACATATAATGGATATATCGAACTCAGCCACCCCAAACCGCCCGCGCTCTATTTACAGGCGGCGAGCTTTCCCGCAACTCTCGAAAGTAGCGGTAGAGCGCCACTTTTAAGGTAGCGGCGTACGCGCGCCGCAGCCTTTCAGCTTGCAGTCTCTACGGTGTCAACGGCACACTGCGCACTTGTTGCAAGCTCCGCCCCCGTAGCATCGGCAGGCATCGGTCGTTGTGCTCGCAGTGTTCGTGCGTTCGAAGTTAGGCCTGTCGCGCGAATGGCGGAGCTCACGGATGTGGAGATTGTCGCCAAAGCTACTGCTGAGCAGCCAAATGAAGACTCTGCCGAGGTGGATCCCGCAAGCGCTGATGGTGCCCCGCTCCTGACATCAGCTGAGGTCGTAGCTGCCTTGGCCCTTGTGCGCCGCCACTGCGGCGCGATTGAAGGCACCGGCCTATCACTTATGGATCGCCTAGACTATATTGAGGACGCAGTCGTCAAACACGCCATGGCCAACAAAAAGCAGGCTCAATATTTTAAGGGGGGAGGCTACCTTCGAAGGGCAACTTTTTTGTTTGTTGAGATATCTTAATGAAATTTTCAGGGTACACTAATAGCAAAGCCATTTGAATAACCACAAAGTTTCATGCAGTTATGTTCACTGGTTCCCAAGTTACAGCCATTTATCAGGGTAGTTAGTCCACATGGGTCCCTTAGTCAGGGTCTGGAGAATTTGAAAAATGTGCTAGCACTGTGAAATTCACTATGATGGTTCCTGGATAGGTGCTTCAGGGCAAGACAGAGCCTTTTTTTTTAAATTTCCTTGCCAAAAAATGTTAGCAGAGCACTGAATTTAGTGTTCACAATTTGGCTCTCATCAATGAAGTTTTAGTTAATTATTACAAATTACAGACACAATAAATTGAAAAAGCGGGCTTGTCTTGCCCTGGGCAATTTATTAAGGTGCATAATAAAAAAAACCTGATAGAAATCAGACCAGCAGTTCCAGAGAGATCACCTGACTAAGCAGCCTCACTGGCCAAAAAGGTCATTCTGAGAAAATTGACTTCGAAAGTTTCAAACATTTATTATGGTCTAAAATGACCCTGCAGAGTAGCTGTGTCCTTAGGCTCTCTTTTTCTTTGCCGCTTTTCCTGCTTCTCATTCATCCGTTTCTGAGCCTTTCTCAGACGCAGAGAGTCCTTCTCCGCAGCTCGTTAAATGGTTAGGTGGCCAGGTGTGAGTCCCACTGATGACGACAACTCTTGGGTGGCCCTGTAGCAGCCGGCATTATACCGCAAAACTGCGTCATGCAGTGCTGTCTCGACAGCAATCAATGATGCATGTTGCTCCTTGGGCATCAAGGACCATAGGACAGAATGGAATGACTCCGATGCATTTCGCGTCTTTGCTCCCAGGCAGCGTTGCAGTAGAGAAGCCTGCGAAAGGCGCTGGTAGACTGGCAGCAGCGCTTCTGCAACGTAGCCCGGAAGATTGTATTTGTGCTTTGGAGGTGGCACGCCATTCCCCTTGCAGGCATTATGACGGCACCACGAGTCTGCACCTTCCGGGCACAAGTCATGGTGAGGATCCTCGTCAGTTGAGGTGACGTGATAATATGACGCCATCACTGCACGCTGCATTGCAGCGACATTGTTTGAATTGTTCCGCAGTGCCCAGCCATAATAGTCTGTGAGTTTATCAATAAGGGCTTTTGTCAATCTGCCCTTCCCTCCCAGAGCCTGTTCGCTTTTCTGCACAAGATTACGTAGGGCTGTGCCCATCCTCTTCCGGACATGGTTCAAGCATTCTTCTTTCACAATAGGGACTAGCCCATAAACATTGTCTTGTTGAAGGGCAGAGAATGTGGCGCTGTCCCTATCAGATACAATGGTTGTATACCGGAGGTTATGCTTGGACAGTGAACGTGAGAACAGAGTTGCAGCTGCTTCAACCTCCATCCTCCCAGACTTGGCATCAGTGTTTTTTTGGCACACATGGTGCTTCAACCAGCTTGCATAGCCCTCGTCTTCAGGCTTCGGTCCTACCTGGCAGCCGAGACACTGATTCGATAAAATTACAGCATCCAAGATGAGGCCTGTGTGATACTCGATGATTGCACCAACTCCAATGTGAGATGTATGTCCGCGCTTATGCCACGTGCCATCATAGTTCACTGTAATGTCCTTGCAGAAAGATGGGTCCATCTCCTTGTACACCTTTTTCACAGCAGAAGCCGATTCTTCATAGAATTTATCCAGGGTCTGTTGCTGTGGTTCTCTGAATTGCTTCAGGTGCCTCTGGAAAGTTCTGTGGTGCAGGCCATGGTGGGAAACATTCATAGTTGCCCAAAAGTCGTTGAGGGCTGTCTGTCCCTTCCCTATTTGTTTCATGGCCGTAATGGCTCTTATATTCACGTCGAAGGCCTTTGACTCGTTCTGACGAGCAGAGCTCCACGAACTTGAAACTATTCCACAATGTGGACATACCAGCTCAAGCTTCGTGGCAAGTCCAAGCTGGGTGCCTCCTTGAACTTTCATCCCGGTCGCGAGGCAGCGCGGGCACGGGGTCTTGGACAGCATGTCGCTAAGGGCATCCCCTTGCACGAGGAAATATCTCTCGCCTTCGGTCGTAGCGGTGGCAGCTTCGGGTTCAGGCATCATCGCTTGAAACTTTCTCTCGGTCGCTGGCATAGCGCCAAGCTTTTGTTGCACAGCAGCACGTTCTCTCTCCGCCGTCGCCAACTCCTCGCACGTCCGAAAACGTGTTTGGAACTGCACAGTCGACGACGTGGTCTCACTGTTTGGGGCCGGAATCAATGCGATTGGCGAGCGCGACACACCAGGCGCACTTGAGCACGAAACACCAGCCTCACTCGTCACGACGGATCCTTGTGCCGATGGTGTAGAAGTCTCGTCGCTAGAAGCGTCGACGCAGTCGTCTTGAAAAGATGAAGCGGAAGCATCGGTGCAACTGTCGCCGCGCGTGGGCGTGCAGGTGAGCTTCGCCATGTGTACGAGCTTCAGCTGACGCTTTTTTGAACCGAACGTGTGCCGAGTCTTGAACTTCAAAATGCCCATCGTGACCGTCAGCGCAACAATCTGCGTCCCGTGAACACGGCGGAAGATCGTCTCGTGAGGACGGTAGTGATCGTCTCGTAAAGACGGTAGAAGATCGTCTCGTGAAGACGGTAGAAGATCGTCTCGGGAAGACGGTAGAAGATCGTCTCGTGAAGACGGTGAAAGATAGAGGAGCACGTGTGACGACCGATCGGAATGATGGCAAACGGGGCACACAAAGAACGCCGGCATTGCAAGCGCCGGTGCAGACGACGAGCCGGCGCATGCCGGAGAAACAGCTACGTCATCGCGCGCAGCAGCCAATAGGAGCCGCGCGTTCCCCCATTCCCTCGAGAGGCACGCGCTTTGTCCAATCGCGGCTTCGCATCCAGGCAGCGGGACATTCGAAAGCTTCCGCGAGCCCCCCAATCGTGAGCGACTTCCGCCTCGGAGCGCCATCGCCACTGCCGCGGGTGGCGAAAAAAAAAAAAGCGCAAGAATTCATGAGCAAAACAACATCAAGATGGCAGCGATCGGCCGAGCGGTTGGGAAATGGCGAGCGCGCAAAGTTGGGGTATTTTTGGCGCTCGCTCGCCGCTTGCCGGCTGCCGCGGCATGTTATAAAATTTATTTGACGTACTTTCGCGATGAATTAGACATTGATATTTATAGTAGAGGCAGTTTATGAGTCATACTGCCCGAGTATGTGGTTTCGTTGGTCGTTTTCAGCAAGCTGTTGACGCATTTTTTTCGTGATTTTTTTATATCGAATTCTGGATATATCGAACTATTTCGCGATCGCCGCACCGTTCGATATATCGAGGTTCGATTGTACATTTGATGAGTTGACTGAAGCGCAAGTAACCACCCAGATTTACCGCCTCCTACAGATGCCAGCCGGCAGAAAACTTCTTCAGAGGATCGGCCTCGGTGAACAAGTACAGGCACATGAAAGAGCTAAAGGATTGTCGAGCTCAGTCGAAGCTTGGTACAAGATATGTCCCCTACCGAAAAACATGGACCAAGTTTTACATGCTGGAAGACGTAAAGCAAGAGTCGCTTACATAGATAAAAAAGACAAAATATTTGAATACGGTGAGATTTACAGACGCTGCACCATATCAGGCAAACGCAAACAACATGGTGGCCGTGGTCACAGACCTAAAAGGGAACGTTAGAAGTTGTGCCTCCATAGCCTAACCCTCTATCACAGAAGCCGAGGAGATAGCGATCGCGCTGGCAATCAAGGAGGGCAGGGAGCGAAAAGCCCCACTGACAATAATCACAGATTCGAAGGCTGCGTGTATAAATTACGAAAAAGGTAGAATATGTATGAAGGCCTTCCAAATTCTAACCAAAGCTCATAAAGACTTTCCAATTGAATACACCCAAACCATTATCGTGGCGCCAGGGCACAAGGACGTCACTTGGCACCAGTTTGCAGATGAGGCGGCTTAAGGCTTCACAAATCACCGAGCTTCCTTGCACACTGCAAAAGAGGATCGAACACCCATAAACCCTAAATTTGGTACGATTCTTCAGTAGTACAGGGACAATAGAAAACTGCATCCAGCATCGCATAACAACCTCACAGCAATGGAATCGGTGGCATTAGGCAGAATCCAAACAGACACATACACGAACTTACACAGGCTACATGTATTCTGCCTCGCAGCATACAGAGATATATGTCCGTGGTGTGGGGCCACACCAATTCTGTTTCACATCACATGGGAGTGCACACATCACAATGAAGAACACCACAACATGAACACTGCTGTCCAGCTCGGCCACTTGCTGATCAGCGCTGGCTGGTCTAACAGGTAGAGATAATGGCTAGGGCCAGCGGAGCCCTGGAATAGGGGCCCAACTATTTACAATGCTCTGCAATATGTGCAAATAACGTTTTCTCTCTCTCTCTCTCTGGACCAAACAAAATGCAAAGCGAAGATGAGAGAGAGCGTGTGTGTGTTCTACTTCTCTCCTCTGTGTTGTGTTTTGACTTGCTCATATCCTCAGTTACTTCTTTCGGCCTGCTGCAATATTGCAGTATGAGAAAACATAAGATGTTGATCCAAAATTGGTCACGTGTGCGGAAGGAAATTCTGCTTAGGATGCCCTGTGTGGTCAGCTAAATTGTCATGACAAACACCCTCATTTTTCTTTATAATATGAGGTACATATACTATTCGGATTTGTTTTGAAATTATGAGATCAAAATTATTATTCGCCTCAAATTTACTTTGAACCAAGAATTCACTATTTGCACAAGCTTAGGAATTAGCTTGTGCGAAAAATCTAACTTGCATGGCCCTCGTTTACAACCAAAATGAAAGGCAGTGCATCACTACTGTCATCAACAGGGCAACAGGCAACAACGGCTTGCCTATTCTTTTTTCTTGAGTGTCCAACACGGGTGTGTGATGGCCGAGTGCTATCGTTCTCCTGTACTTTGCTGTTGGTTTTAAATTATCTATCTTATTGTGTGATCAGTGCCATATTGTTTGCTTGTTCTTGAAAAGTTTGCTGATTGTTTCATGTTGTTTTTGTCACCGTGCTTTCCCCGTTTTTTATCACCAAGCTTGTCTGCTTCGTGTGCGAGCACATCACCACCATGCAAGCGACACTGTTGTGGCTTCCCCTGCGTCTCGTGCTGCCCCAGCCACCTCCACCCCCACAGCGAAGAAGGTGAAGTTATGAAGTTATGGATTTGGTGGCAAAGGTCAAAATATTGAAGGGTATTGCAAGCAAGAGCATCTCGAAAAGAAGTCACAAAAAAGTTTAACGCGAAGAAAACACGCTGAGCAGTTGCGTGAAGAATGTAAACCAGATTATGCCAGCGTATGACGGCGGCATGTTTGGAAATAAGAGGAAGAGGCTTTGAACGGCAGCGTGCTCCAAGCTAGAAGAAGCGCTGTTGCGCTGGACTGCTGTATCGCATGATGCACGTTTGCCCTTGAGCACACAAGCAGAGAAGTTCGCAGTGATAATGAAGATTGTCTCCTTCAATGCGTCGAAACGCTGGTTCGACCGCTTCAATAAGCGACACGGGCTGGTGTTCCGCAACGTGTGTGGGGAAAGAGGTGCCGTTGACGAAAGTGTGGTGCAGGACTGGCGGACTGGACTATTCGTGCACCTTTCTGTGTATGAGCCATGCAACATTTTCACTGCTGATGAGAGAGCATTATTCTTTAAGGCTCTGCCCGACTAGACAGTGGGGTTTAAGGGAGACCCGTGTGTCAGCGGAAAACGGAGTAAAGAGCATGTGACAATTCTTCTGCCTGCTAACGTGACTGCATAGAGCGGCTGCTGCTGCTAGTGATAGGGAAGGCTGTGAAGCCAAGATGTTTAACAATATTGGGCAGCTGCCTGGTGACTATAGTTTAATAGAAAAGCTTTGATGACTGCCAAACTTTTTCAAGCCTTGCTGCGTCAGCTCGACCGCTGCTTTGTGGCCAAGGCTCGAAAGATGTTGTTCGTCCTGGACAACTGTAGTGCGTGCGCAAAGGTGTCTGGTCTCGAGAACATTGAACTACTATTTCTGCCTCTGAACACAACAGCTTTCCTGCAGCCGATAAACCATGGAATCGCACAGTTTGTTAAAAGCCTCTATCAACGGCAGGTTTTGAGCGGACGTTGCTCTGCATGGAGATGGGCAAGCAGTTTGAAGTAAAGCTACTAAGCGCAATCCACATGCTCATATTCGCGTGGAACAACACACGCCTGAAGTAGTCGCCAACTGCTGCAGCCATAGCGGCTTCATGCACAATGCTTCTGACCCGGGTGTGGTGGCCGACGAGGAAAGCGGCGAAGAGTGAGACGGAAGCTATGTAAGCATCATGCCAGCTGATGTGCCCTTTGGCGATTACGTCACAATTGACAGCGATCTTGCTGTGGCCGGCACAGTGACCGACAGCGATATCATCGCCAGTCTTGGATGGCGAAAGGAAATCGGCTGACGAAGACCCAAGTAATGCAGACGTAGCAGTCACGCCACACAATGATGGAGGCTGCGCTTGCATTGGCCATTTCAGAGGACATATGCAAAGTTTCCTCACACAGTGTGCGCGGACTAAGCCACCTGCAGGAACTTCTCAAAATTGTGACTTCACCGCTCATTGCCTCTGTGAAGCAAACCGCAATTCACAGACTTTATTAAAAAATAGAAATTTGATGGTCTAGGAGACATTTTTCAAGTGTTTTGTTTGTACTCGCGATAATTCGTACCGTCAGTTCAATTCAGACATTCTCTCCGGTCCCATGAAGTCTGAATCAAAGGGTTTTACTGTATTTACAAACCTTTAGTAGTAGTAATACACTACAACCACTGTTTTATTTTCCAGCGTCATTCTGGCTGCCGCCGATGGCGAGATAGTCGCTGATCCCGACGTCCAAAGGTCGGCCCTCAACGTTGTGATCAATTGCGTCTGTGGACCTATGTCAAGGGTGAGGAAGCTTAGTGGTTTTTCATTGGTGCATGCCCTCGCAACAGTGATGTCATGCTGTTAGCCGGCACTACTGTGCACAGATGCAGGGCGGATATTTTGGCATGCTGGTTCCGCAGCTTTCATTTGCTACATCCTGCATAGCAATGCCTTTAGCTTAAAGGACGGGTTAAGTTATTCATGGTGGACAACAGTGCGACACAACGAAGACAAGAAAGACCAAACAGGTGTCCCAATAATGGCTATGGCGCTCGGCTGCAGACCCAAAGGCCACGAGTTTGATCCCCATTATGGCGGTTGCATTTCAATGAAGGCAAAATTGTGGAGGCTCGTAGGCTCTGTGGTATCAGTGCACGTTAAACGAAACCAGATGGTCAAAATTTCCCAAGCCCTCCTCCACTATGGTGTCTCCCATGATCACAACATGGTTTTGAGACGTAAAGCCTTGCAATTTATCATGATGGATCAAACTGAACTAGCACTAGTCCCGTTTAGTCTTTTTCATCTTTATTGTATTGCATTGTTGTCCACCATTAATATCTACCAAGAAGGTCTAGTTAGCATGCTTTCAAGTTCAAGTTGTGGGTAAAACATCAAATACAAAGAACTTTCAGTAAATGCACATTCCTTAAAGGTAACTGCTGCTTAATCTGGAACAGTTGTTTCTAATGTGGTTGGCTTCGTACTCGGTCTGCGACCCTGTTGATCTCTCAAAAAATGAAACTCCTGTTAAATGGAACACATTTTCTTGACCTAACCTAACCTAGTCTAAAACTTCAGTCTGCTGTACTAAGATATCTAGTACCGGATATCTTTTTAAAGAGAGTTATCAATACAGTTGAAAACTGCTTACTCAACTGTAGTTTGTGGAGGCCAGTGGAGAGTTTTGTTCGCATACTAAGTAAAGTTAGCAATTTGCCTGGTTACAGCTGCATAAGCATGAGTGGCCAAATTGGTGGCGCAGAGCCCAACTAGAAAAATGCAGAGCCTAATTATCAATAGTGAAGCCTATTTTACTGTAGTGCTTGAATTACCTTGAGGCAGCGGTGTTTTCAATTTTTTTGGTGAGAACACTTGTCACTCACAAGAAACCATTCCCAGATTAGACTGCAGCTCAACAAAACACTGCACCTGGTGTTGCAAAAATGCCATTGCATATACAGGTAACACTGAAGCTCTATAGTGTGCATAGTCATTGTGGAGCATTTTATTTCTTCCAGCGAAATGTGGAGCTTTGAGTCAACAAGACACTTGCCTAAACTTATTCTGTGTTTCTCAGAACGACAGTAAACTGGTCAATTTGGGACAGTCAACTATAGTATCTCAATTAGGCGTAGTGAATGGCATTACAATGTTGACAATGCATGACGGTACACTTTTTCTCTTTCTCGTGGCAACAGTTGGGAGGCGGCATTGGCCGAGTTGTGTCGGGCAGCGTGCGAAAGCGAGCAGCGATAAAAAGCGGTGAGGACCTGCTGAGCAAGATGTGGAACTGCGTCCGGGCCAACAACGGCATCATGGTACGAGCTTGCCATATTTGTCGCATAAATGACGGCACCGGATTGCATAATTAGCCTGCTTTCAGGTAATCGTTTCTAAAGTTAACAGACACTACAGAGCTCTGTGGCCAGAATTTTCGTGGTGCTAGTACTTGCTGAAGTAAATAGCGTGATACCAGCAAGGTCTAGCTGTTGTAAAGGTGGCTTTTGTTGCATGCAATATGCCCACCACAGAAGCCACTATGCCTTCCCTGACGCCCACTGGTTTCTGTATGTCCCTTTACTGGTGTCAAGTTGTGTGCCTTGTATTAATAATTGTTAAGGTTTTACGTCGCAAAACTAGATATGATTATGTCAAATGCTGTCATAGTGGAGGGCACCATCTGGAGTTTGTTAATGTGCGCTTAAATCGAAGCATTTCTAGCATCTTGCAGTGGTGGGAAACCTGTGCCAACTGGAAATTACCGTGCCATACTGCTAAAAAAAATATTTTGTCTGATTTGGGCCATCGCTGCGCCGCACGGTGGTTTTAGAATTGAAAGTAATGTTGACAGCATGCATATGAGTGGATATTACGTGATGGTCGCCATCTTGTACACTTGCGCTGCTGCATTTGCGTGCAGTTGCGCATGCAAGAGCACGGAATCGGCTGATCTGTTACTCCTACTTCCGCGGGATTGCGGCGGTGCCTTTTTTGGTAACCACTGGCAAAGAACAAAGGCGATGTGGCTACCACCAAAAAGCGCACCAGTATGACATCACCGATAAAAAACCCTGCGTGTGTCGTGTAGAGTCGCTTTAAGACTACTGCACGCTTTTGATATCTGGCGACTACCTGAGCATGCAGGGGCACCGATCGCTGCCGCCTTGATCATTGTACGGGACCGTGTTCAGGGTGCATCATTTTGCAGAAACGAAAGTAGCTTACTGTTGCAGAGTTCAGCGTTGTGGGTTGCGGGTACCGAGACAGCAAATGTAGCGCTGTTATAATCGTACTGCAGGCTTTCATAACGAGAACCCAAACATGCCTCAGTCCGCTAGAGCATCGCTTGCAGAAAGCTCGCATCATTGTGTTATAGCTTTCTCGCCGCATCTGTGCACGTTCTGAAGCAGAGTGGGCGCAAGCGGCTTGGCACGGTGTGTACTACAAGTAGGCGAAGCGCTGCACGTGACTTGCCAGTAGATGATTGGCTTTCTGCGACCCTACCGCGTCTCAAAAAAGCAGAGTCTGTTTTCGCTAAGTAGCAGGTTGTGGCACACATTTATCGTGGACAGCTGCTTATATCCGTTTCGTCGCTATGCCAGCTGCTGCGTCGGCTGCGTATCCCGGACTTTGCAGCTCGAAATGCGCCTTGATGTTCCCACCACGTGCCATCGGATGGCCATGCGAGAGTGCCAGTTATTCCTGAAATTTGGTAAACAAAAATAAATGGCTCGGTGGTGGGCAGTTTAGGCAATATTTGCTTTGACTATGTATTTATTCCTTATTTAGCAGCGATGGCACATGTAAAAGGTGCATATTGGACTTGGTGGTTAATATATGCTACATTTAGTGTGCAGTTAGCCGCATTCGCGGTGCGTATGTACGTACCAACTGGGATTACCTGTAAAAAGCTTCGAATGTGAAGGGAGGGTGCATAGGCGTGCTCAGGTATTGCCCCCCCCCCCCCCTTCAGAGGAAGGGGACAGAGGTTCGTCGCAGCACCCCCCTCCCGTTCATGTCAATGTACGAGGCTGGTTTTGCGCTCCCCCCCCCTCTTGCTTCCCTGCCTTTCCCTGCACATGCCTATTCAAGTGTGCGCATGCTCTGCTAAAACTTTATGCTGCAGGTAGCTTAATTGTTCGTACAATATCCTTCACTGTTTTATGTCGCCACTTCTGTGCATAATCGTGCTTTTGTTTATTTTTAGTGCTTATTTTGTGGGCTTTCTTCTTCTTTATAAATTATTATGTAAACTGAGAAAACATTAAACGGAATTAAAGCTAATTTTTTTTCCTCTGTGTGTGTCATGAAAAGCCTGTGCATGCTCCAAACACAGAGGTATCTGCTCCAAAAGCAGATTTTGCCTGCTCCAGTGGCTGCTCCAAAATGCTGGAAGGCATTCCCAGCACTCATCTTGCCTTCATGACTATGTGATCGCTGTGGCTGGAATTCGATTTAGTGACCCATAGGTCAGCAGTTGAACGCCAAGTCTACTAGGCCGCTGCGGCGGATTTCGTGGATTATCACCAGCAAGCCTGATATAATATCTAGGCCTAGCCGTGTGTACACTGGTTTCATAATTGACACCTTGCTGGTAATCAAGTAAGCTTCGTAAGCTTTTCCGGCAAAATATTTCTTGCTGGTTGAGACGGCATTGACAAGCTTATAAAAGCGGCTATGGAATGTGTTGAAATCGTAGGATAATCGGCTGTTTTGGTTGGTCCGTATCGATAAAACTTTCAGCTTCTCTGGTAGTCATCCATTGCAGGATAATGCAGTAGGCGTGCTTGGCAGACGAGGCTTGCAAACCAATTTCTCCTTTCAGGTGTTGCTGAATCTCCTGACTGTGAAGAGCCCCATCACTGATGCGGATTCGATGCGTGCCCTTGCTTGCAAAGTGAGTCCTGTTACCTTGCATGTTGAGCATTTTTGTTGTCTTAGTTGTTGTTAATGATATCACCGTCAGCGTCAGGAAATACCAATGTAGTCGATTAAGGGGGGAGGCTACCTCCGAAGGGCAACTTTTTTGTTTGCTGAGATATCTTAATGAACTTTTCAGGGTACACTAATAGCAAAGCCATTTGAATAACCACAAAGTTTCATGCAGTTATGTTCACTGGTTCCCAAGTTACAGCCATTTATCAGGGTAGTCCACATGGGTCCCTTAGTCAGGGTCTGGAGAATTTGAAAAATGTGCTAGCACTGTGAAATTCACTATGATGATTCCTGGATAGGTGCTTTAGGGCAAGACAGAGCCCTTTTTTTAAATTTCCTTGCCAAAAAATGTTAGCAGAGCACTGAATTTAGTGTTCACAATTTGGCTCTCATCAATGAAGTTTTAGTTAATTATTACAAATTACAGACACAATAAATTGAAAAGGCGGGCTTGTCTTGCCCTGGGCAATTTATTAAGGTGCATAATAAAAAAAAAACCTGATAGAAATCAGACCAGCAGTTCCAGAGAGATCACCTGACTAAGCAGCCTCACTGGCCAAAAAAGTCATTCTGAGAAAATTGACTTCGAAAGTTTCAAACATTTATTATGGTCTAAAATGACCCTGCAGAGTAGCTAGATGTGTCCTTAGGCTCTCTTTTTTTTGCCGCTTTTCCTGCTTCTCATTCATCCGTTTCTGAGCCTTTCTCAGACGCAGAGAGTCTTTCTCCGCAGCTCGTTGAATGGTTAGGTGGCCAGGTGTGAGTCCCACTGATGACGACAACTCTTGGGTGGCCCTGTAGCAGCCGGCATTATACCGCAAAACTGCGTCATGCAGTGCTGTCTCGACAGCAATCAATGATGCATGTTGAAACGAACTTGAAACTATTCCACAATGTGGACATACCAGCTCAAGCTTCGTGGCAAGTCCAAGCTGGGTGCCTCCTTGAACTTTCATCCCGGTCGCGAGGCAGCGCGGGCACGGGGTCTTGGACAGCATGTCGCTAAGGGCATCCCCTTGCACGAGGAAATATCTCTCGCCTTCGGTCGTAGCGGTGGCAGCTTCGGGTTCAGGCATCATCGCTTGAAACTTCCTCTCGGTCGCTGGCATAGCGCCAAGCTTTCGTTGCACAGCAGCACGTTCTCTCTCCGCCGTCGCCAACTCCTCGCACGTCCGAAAACGTGTTTGGATGTGCACAGTCGACGACGCGGTCTCACTGTTCGGGGCCGGAATCAATGCGGTTGGCGAGCGCGACACACCAGGCGCACTTGAGCACGAAACACCAGCCTCACTCGTCACGACGGATCCTTGTGCCGATGGTGTAGAAGTCTCGTCGCTAGAAGCGTCGACGCAATTGTCTTGAAAAGATGAAGCGGAAGCATCGGTGCAACTGTCGCAGCGCGTGGGCGTGCAGGTGAGCTTCGCCATGCGTACGAGCTTCAGCTGACGCTTTCTTGAACCGAACGCGTGCCGAGTCTTGAACTTCGAAATGCCCATCGTGACCGTCAGCGCAACAATCCGCGTCCCGTGAACACGGCGGAAGATCGTCTCGTGAGGACGGTAGTGATCGTCTCGTAAAGACGGTAGAAGATCGTCTCGTGAAGACGGTAGAAGATCGTCTCGTGAATACGGTAAAAGATAGAGGAGCACGTGTGACGACCGATCGGAATGATGGCAAACGGGGCACACAAAGAACGCCGGCATTGCAAGCGCCGGTGCAGACGGCGAGGTGGCGCATGCCGGAGAAGCAGCTACGTCATCGCGCGCAGCAGCCAATAGGAGCCGCGCGCTCCCCCATTCCCTCGAGAGGCGCGCGCTTTGTCCAATCGCGGCTTCGCATCCAGGCAGCGGGACATTCGAAAACTTCCGCGAGCCCCCCAATCGTGAGCGACTCCCGCCTCGGAGCGCCACCGCCACTGCCGCGGGTGGCGAAAAAAAAAGCGCAAGAATTCACGAGCAAAACAACATCAAGATGGCGGCGATCGGCCGAGCGGTTGGGAAATGGCGAGCGCGCGAAGTTGGGGTATTTTTGGCGCTCGCTCGCCGCTTGCCGGCTGCCGCGGCATGTTATCAAATTTATTTGACATACTTTCGCAATGAATTAGACATTGATATTTACAGTAGAGGCAGTTTATGAGTCATACTGCCCGAGTATGTGGTTTTCAAAAAATCGACTTTTTCGCGATTTTTCGGTTTTCAAAGGGCGCGTCCCCCCTTAAACCAGCACGTACAGCTGTGAATGAAGGGTAGGTGGAAAGGATGGCAAAAGAAAGAGTCGTTGCAGGGACATATAGAGTCGAGCCCACATATAACGGCCCCACTTAAAACGAACTTTTGCTTAAAACGAACAATAGCTGCGTGACCATGAAAATGTACATTGATTAAATGGCACAGAATCCCACTTACAATGAACGTCTCCGAGCGCCGCTGATCGGTTACAGCGAACGAAGTCAGCGTTCTGCCGACTTCCTGAGCAACCAATTTCGACCACAGATCAGGCATTGGCGAGGTGCCCATACACTCTTATTGTTAAATGCCGACCCTGCCTTAGCGACCCTCTAGTTGCCGCTCTCCCCAACCCATGGAGGAAGCAAAGCTGTTTCCTTCCCCCATGCTCCAACTGCTTTTTGTTACGCACCCCTCCGTTCTTTGTCCCCCTGCTACTCTGAGCACCCCGCATCGCCAGACGCCGCTGCCACTGATCTTTCGAAGACCTGTCGGCCATCTACCCTGTTTTTGATCCTTGGTACTGTCGCTGGCGTTGCCGGCCTGGAGTGACCAGACCATTTGCAAACATCGTCGGCCACCGACTGTATCCTATAGTCTGCGCCTAGTGCATGCGCGTACGCTACCCCACCGACTCTGATAATTTGCGATACGTTTCATGTTTAAAACTTGTTCTTGCTCACTTCGAACTTAGTATGCCTTCCACGCGCGTGCGGAAGTGCGAAAACGGCTGTTAATTTGCGCAGAACGCATCGCGAAATATTGAAATTCGTGAGGCCACACAAACCCGCCGGCGCAACAAAACGTTTTTTTTTACCACGGTCGCCGATTCCTTGAACATTGCCACGCGCACCGATTCAGGCGGCCATGCTTTGACTTCTGCGCGTGCAGGCACTTTTTCCAAGTTTTTCTGTGTGCGAGTTTCGCGGACCTTTCAAGCAAGCTACCCAACTTGCCTCCTTCCTGTGTGTTTTGGTTTTCAAGGTCGCCCTCCCTGCCGCATCCTCCCCTCTTTTTATCGCAACTCGTTGCCCTTCTCTCGCAAGTCTGCTCTCCTCTCTTGATTACGACGCCTTCAACCGTCTCCACCGCTCCGCGACGCCCGCCACGCTGGCTCGAATTAGTTTCGTTTTCTGACTGAAAACGGGCCCATAGCTGTTTCACGCGTTCTGGCATGTGTGTCGCGCGTCTTGCCCGCTCTTGGTGTGCATGTGTGGTCATGATGGCCGACGGGAGGACTAGCTACGCTTTTTCCTGCCGCTCAACAAAACGTCGAAAGTGTGACCACTTGGCTTTAGCGTAATACGCGCGTTAGGTGCCGCGTTTTGGAGCGCTTGCTCATAGCTGTTGACCACCTGGCAGCCAACTTGCCGCTTCGGGCTTTCCGGTATGCAGCTGCGGAGATGGTGAATATTTCGTGGGCGGCGGTGACGACTACATGCGCGCAAAATTGTTTTCACGAGGCCAACTTCGTCGACGTCAGGCCCGATGCCGAGCCTGAAGCCTTTGAACAGGACCACTGCGGCGGCAATTTGTGGCAGGGCGTCGTCGACTCCGACCTGGGAGAGCGGGTGGAACATCTGTTGCGATGGTTTAATTACGGCTGATGATGATGCCGACACTGCGGAACCATGCACGGATTGTGGCATTGTGAATGAAGTATGTGGCGAGAGCGATTTGGAGGAATCGGATTGCGAGAACGGTGAAACTTTGGAGCCAGTGCCTGATGCAGCTTATGCCATGGGCCTCGGCGAACGAGCACCCTGCCGTTTTAAATGAACTCGAGACCGCCCTTATCGCTTCTGTTCTTCGAAACACATGCATAACGGACTTTCTGGGGCAAAAAAAGTTTGTGTTTTCACTCGCAACTTTTTTAAATTGTGTTTCATTTACTACGAACTTCGGGATACAGCGATTGGATGCCACGTCACGCTCAAGTTCGTTATAAGCGGGCTCGACTGTAGTTGAAATGGCGCCTTCGGCGTTGGACGCATATTTTTATCTTCATTTGTGTTACCGTAACAAGGCTTTGCGTGAACTGTGTTACCGGAATGGATGTTTTTCTTCATTTTACAGTCTTACCAATGTGTTCTACTTTTTTTATGATCTGTGTTTTTGTATGCAGTGTTAATACTTCTTATTTTTATATACAGTCGATTCTCGTTAATTCAAACTTGAGGGGACCTCTGAATTTTGTTTTAATTATCAAGAAGTTTGAACTACCAGAATTTCTCAGATGACTCCAGGTGAGGTGACGCTACACATAATGAATAGGCATCGATTTTATCACATTTACAAATTTCAAGCCCTAACTGCACGCAGTGAACAGGAAGCAAAGGTGTAAAGTCGACAAGTTTATTGGTCACTTACTGCTGCTCAGGCATTTCAAAGAAATCGGGAATTGCCAACTGGCTTCATTGCTATAGATATGTGCCTTCGGCACAAAGCTCACTACTATACCAGTTGAGAAGCATCAGGTTCTTCATATTTGAATGTTATAGTATGTGTCGCCCCCCCCCCCCCCTCTTTTTTTTTTTTGCAGCATGCATGTTTCATTTTTTTTTTTCATGTTCATTGCAGGCACTGTGTGGCTTGGCACGCTGCAGCACAGTAAAGCAGATCATCAGTAAACTCCCTCTTTTCACCAGCGGCCAGCTGCAAGGTAAAAAAGCACTCTCCAGTTGAATCACTGATGGTTGTAAGAGTCTGCTGTAGCTGTTTTAATAGGTAGTATTGGGGCTGTGTAGGTTGAATAATTTCAAATCGAATTTGAATAGTATACTTATATCACGTATTATTAAGAAAAATGGGCATGTTTTTTATGACCAAACTAATCTGCACAGTATTTTTTAAAACATTGAAACAAGGTCTGTGCAAACGCCTTTTTTTGTTCAAAGAAATTAAAACAACTTTAAATGGTAGGAAGCTTTGTATCTCGGTAGAATGCAAGTGATAACCTCTCAAATATGTTATGTTTTAAAAACTTAGATCATACAAGGTGGTATAGCAAGCTTCTAAACTTTAAATATTATGCCTCGGTGTGAGGCTAACATGTTCATTTAACTTTGAAGCAGGGCCTCACGACAGTGTGGATATATATCCCTTGGATAGACGTTTTCGCGGTTTCGCATCTCTTCATTGCAGCGAAGCCACCTTCACAGGGGTTTCATTCTATGTGGACACATATACAGCTATTTGTTCATTTCGAATTCATCGAAATTTTCAATCACTTGAATTCGAGTACAGTAGTAGTATTCGTTCGAATATTCGCACAAGTGGCACCCATGCAAGGGTGTGGTGGTGCTTCGCGCAATTCTAATGCAAAGTAGAGGTATTTGCGTACATCATGAAATGTACTGGTCTTGTGCAAGTGGATTATGTGTGGGGAAATTTGTCGTCAGTTTTGCATTGCTGTGGAATTGTGGTGTAGCTACGTTTCGTTGTCTTGAAGTTCAAGCTACATGAACCCTATGGGGGTTCACCTAGGACAGTTAAATGTCTTGTTTCTGTGAAAATTCTCTTACTGGTGCTTTCGGCTGTGTTCCATCCTTTGACTTTTTATCTTTTGTGGTCTTTGCAAGAAGTCCTTGTGTTTATTCTTTTGTTTAGGTTGGCCAAAACTGTGCAGTGAGCTGGGAATTGCAACATTCCTCATTTGCATAAAGCTAGAAAAACTTGCGCTCAAGCCTATGCTAATGCCCTGTACTGGCTTGAGAAAAGAAATATACACTGAAAGCTTGTCAATTCGGATTTCATGCGACTGAAAGAAATTCCTGAATTAACTCAATTTTAATTGTCAAAAGTATCGAGAAAACAATAAACAAATGTTTTTTTTTAGTACTTTCATTTTGGGATGAATACATACATTCTGTACTTTGCATAAGATTAATGTAAAAGCCTAAGTTTTGCTACTTGCGACTTTTTTCCCAATGTGGTCGCAGCACAAAACCTCCCTGTTTTCACAAAGCCAATTTTGTTTACCTGTAACATAGTTGCCATAGTCGCTGTACGCTTCGTATCGACCATGATGGCGACGCAGACTGTGCAGCCCCTGTTTGGTTGTCTGCAAAGGCCATTTTCATTCCTTTCTTAAATTAACTGGGTTGCGGCCAAACGGCCAAGTATGGTCGAAATAACAACGATAATTTGATGCCATATAATAACGCATATGCTGACCGGGATGAGAGAATGAGTCCAAAGTATGCAAATTGATGGGTGTCGAATCAACGACTCTTTAAGATACGATTTTGTCTCTCCTCTGTCGCTCTCATTGTTTCAGTGCTCATGCGAGAGCCTGTTCTTCAGGACAAGAGGCAGGAACATGCTAAGTTCTGCACCTCCTGCATTGAACTGGTGGAGAGGGTCACGGGGGCACCCCTGAGCCCTGGCATGGAATCCTCGCTTGCCAAGATCAACAAGGTGGGCCTTGCATGCAGATGTCTGTTATTGCAATTGTGTGCAGAAACGCCGAACACATGCGTGAAACGAAGAAATCATAGGCATATTATATTAGGAGACAGAAGAATCGGCATTTGAGAAAGAACGAACACTCCGCAGCAACTTCTTTTTTTTTTCTCTCTCTCTCTTTTAGCGTGCGGTGTTGAAAGGAGATGGGTCTCTGTAAGCAGGGACAGAAAAGGCAGAAATGTAGCACGGGCGCGTCGCAGATCGGCACGTGAGAGAGAGAGAACATTCCGCAACAGCCTCTTTTTTTTCTTTTTTTCTTTTCCTTCTTCGCACGCAGCATTGAGCTGTAGGAGATGTTGACACGGGCATAGTGCTCAGAGCATTTTCGTAGCATGGTATGTTCAATTGACCGTCGCAAGTGCTTGCGTGTTCAAATTATAGGGCGTTTTCACCCATTAGAATACACATAGCTTTGACGGGACCACAGCGCAAGTTCGAATTAACCGGAAGTTCCAATTAAGCGTGTTCGAAGTAATGAGATGCGACCGTACTACACGGTAGAGCATATTACTGTGCATCGTGAACTTTCTTACAGCGCAACACCAGAAAAAAAAAAAAAACAAGACAGGGAAGGAGTAGAACAGAAGGAAAAGACGGCGCTGACTCACAACTGTTGTTTATTGGAAAAAAATATATTGGAAATTGTGTTTTTCCGATAAACAACAGTTGTGAGTCAGCGCCGTCTTTTCTTTCTGTTCTACTCCTTCCCTGTCCTGTTTTTTTCCTTTTTTTTTTTTTTTTTTTTCTGGTGTTGCGCTGTAAGAAAGTTCACGGTGGATCCTAACCAACTGGCCCGACTTACCGTCTTACTACATATTACTGTGCTGCTGTGGCGTAACATTTCTGAAACATGGTAGAATGAGTCTGGACTCATTCTTCAAATAGAAAAACTTGACTAAGGAGTAAATGTGCCTGCGCATAGCAGCTTGATATTGGCGAATGGCCATCCTCCGTGTCCCTGTTGTGATTGGCGATGTGGCTATGAATTAGGAAAATGCCGCCTGAATAAGCAACATGGTGACTGCCAGTGTCTGGTACATGCAATTGCTTCTGGCACCATTTAGATTGTGTAAAGAAGCTTATGCGAATGCCTGATTTTAGGTTCAAAGCGAATAGTGATAATTTCAAATCAAATTTGAATAGTATCCTTATATCACGTGTTATAAAGAAAAAATGGGCATATTTTTTATGCCCAAACTAATCTGCACAGTATTTTTTAAAACATTAAAACAAGGTCTGTGCAAACGCCTTTTTTTTTTTTTGTTCAAAGAAATTGAAACAACTTTAAATGGTAGGAAGCTTTGTCTCTCGGTAGAATGCAAGTGATAACCTGTCAAATATGTTATGTTTTAAAAACTTAGAGCATACAAGCTGGTATAGCAAGCTTCTAAACTTTAAATATTATGCCTCGATGTGAGGTTAACATGTTCATTTAACCTTGAAGTGGGGCCTCACGACAGTGTGGATATATATCCCTTGGATAGACGTTTTCGCGGTTTCGCATCTCATCATTGCAGCGAAACCACCTTCACAGGGGTTTCATTCTATGTGGACACATATACAGCTATTTGTTCATTTCGAAATTTTCAATCACCTGAATTTTCAAAATTTTCAATCACCTGAATTCGAGTACAGTAGTATTCGTTCGAATATTCGCACAAGTGGCACCCATGCAAGGGCTGTGGTGTGGTGGTGCTTCGCGCAATTCTAATGCATGCAAAGTAGAGGTATTTGCGTACATCATGAAATGTACTGGTCTTGTGCAAGTGGATTATGTGTGGGGAAATTTGTCGTCAGTTTTGCATTGCTGTGGAATTGTGGTGTAGCTACGTTTCGTTGTCTTGAAGTTCAAGCTACATGAACCCTATGGGGGTTCACCTAGGACAGTTAAATGTCTTGTTTCTGTGAAAATTCTCTTACTGGTGCTTTCGACTGTGTTGCATCCTTTGACTTTATATCTTTTGTGGTCTTTGCAAGAAGTCCTTGTGTTTATTCTTTTGTTTAGGTTGGCCAAAACTGTGCAGTGAGCTGGGAATTGCAACATTCCTCATTTGCATAAAGCTAGAAAAACTTGCGCTCAAGCCTATGCTAATGCCCTGTACTGGCTTGAGAAAAGAAATATACACTGAAAGCTTGTCAATTCGGATTTCATGCGACTGAAAGAAATTCCTGAATTAACTCAATTTTAATTGTCAAAAGTATCGAGAAAACAATAAACAAATGTTTTTTTTTAGTACTTTCATTTTGGGATGAATACATACATTCTGTACTTTGCATAAGATTAATGTAAAAGCCTAAGTTTTGCTACTTGCGACTTTTTTCCCAATGTGGTCGCAGCACAAAACCTCCCTGTTTTCACAAAGCCAATTTTGTTTACCTGTAACATAGTTGCCATAGTCGCTGTACGCTTCGTATCGACCATGATGGCGACGCAGACTGTGCAGCCCCTGTTTGGTTGTCTGCAAAGGCCATTTTCATTCCTTTCTTAAATTAACTGGGTTGCGGCCAAACGGCCAAGTATGGTCGAAATAACAACGATAATTTGATGCCATATAATAACGCATATGCTGACCGGGATGAGAGAATGAGTCCAAAGTATGCAAATTGATGGGTGTCGAATCAACGACTCTTTAAGATACGATTTTGTCTCTCCTCTGTCGCTCTCATTGTTTCAGTGCTCATGCGAGAGCCTGTTCTTCAGGACAAGAGGCAGGAACATGCTAAGTTCTGCACCTCCTGCATTGAACTGGTGGAGAGGGTCACGGGGGCACCCCTGAGCCCTGGCATGGAATCCTCGCTTGCCAAGATCAACAAGGTGGGCCTTGCATGCAGATGTCTGTTATTGCAATTGTGTGCAGAAACGCCGAACACATGCGTGAAACGAAGAAATCATAGGCATATTATATTAGGAGACAGAAGAATGGGCATGTGAATGATACGAAGCCGGAGCATCCAATATTTCAGATGAATTATCAAAGGCATTTCACATGTGTGTTCATCACATAACGTGCAATAACTTTGTAACATTGCCAGTCTATAAAATAAAATATGGCTTCTCGCAAAAAAGCAGTACTTTTGGCTGTACTGGTGATGAATGCAGCAACCAGAACCAGTGAAGGTTGATCTCCTTATTGTGGAAACTTGCGCCCAGAAAAACGAAACTCTCATAATAGGGAGGCAGCTGTGAACACGGCTGTCAATTGTGAGTCTTTTCTGTGGGTCTAGGACATTGATCAGTTGTGCACACGTCGTGACGGGATCTTTGGTGCTCGCGTGTGTTAGAGAACATGCTCTGGTATCCATGATTAGAATGCAGTTTGAATTATGGAAACCACTTGAAGGTTCCGGAGGGGAAGAAAAACAGTCATGGGGAAAAACTGTCAAGTGTTGGTGTTCTCTTTGAATACTGTCCTTGTAGTCTTGAGATTGGAGTTTGTTGTCTTGCCCATGAAGTTGATGTTTGTTAGTCCAGTGCTTAGTGCATGTTTTACAAAGGTGCTTCTGTGCATGTTGTTTCTCGTTTCAGTCGGAAGTGGTGGCGCAGACTAAGATCAGCTACCGCGAAAAAGACCTCCTGCAGCTAATCTACCAGCACCTCCAGGCCAAAGGTGGGTTGGTGGCCCCCATCCACCTAGCGCGCTGCACACAACTGTTTTTTACTTTCGCACTAGTTCCCCCTCTCTGCGTAACAGAAAGAAGTATCAGAAGCTACGCTTTTAGCTGCATCAGCAGCAGTTCGGGGTTCGAGGCATTTCTAAGATGCAGACACCTGTCGGATAAAAATCTGACTTTGCACTTGTAGAAATAGCGACCACCTAGTACCAAAGGCAATGTCATTCATTTCTAGATAATAGCGAAGCAATGTTATCATCATTGGGTGGCGGTGCCAACTTCCTCGCGTTCATGAATTTAGACTGTGTTTCCGAGAGTTCGCGTCTGCATCGACAGGTTTGACGGACACTGCGGCCTTGTTGCAAAAGGAGGCGGGACTGCCCGCGCGACCCCTGTGTGGAAGCTCTGCGCAACCCCAGTGGTCGTCCAACACCGTCTGCACTCCACGAACTGTGAGTTCATTACGTCTCCACTATTCCTGGGGCAGTGCTAGTGTATCTCGCGTGTTTCACCTGTGCTTCAATAGCACTCAACATGAGTGTTTCAATATCAAGGAAACGTACTTTCATGAAAATAACTCTTCACTTCCGTTGTGTTTAGCCCTGAAGATCTGCTTGGTTTGTGCACTCAAACTTCGATATAATGAAGTAAATGAAAAATAGTCTTGCAATAGATATACTGTTACTATTGAACCTTTACAGTCACAGAGGGATGTTTCGGGCTCCGAAAATTCGGACTTGTTGGATATTTCGAAATTCACAAATGCACCGTCAGGGTTCCCATTGCACTAATGCATCTTTGCGATCGATTTTTTGGACGAATTCGTGTACCAATGTTAAGTTTTCTGGACTAAATCTGCCGTTTTGAACTATGCTGCTCTATTTTGAAAGCCGCCATGTTGGATTTTTTGTTAGATTGGTCAAGTTAGGCTTGCAGTGGCTGCATACCTGCTAAGTCTTCCGGATTGCCCGGGGGACTCCCGGGTTTCGACCGTTTCTTCCGTTTGTATGGATGTCATGAAAATCTCCCGAAAATCGAAATTTCTGTGTGTGATCTGGCTGTGTTGACAATAAAGCAGCTAAATTTGCTTCAGGCTTATTGCGAACCCACCCCATTTTTTTATAGATGAATTTAAGAGGCGTTTATCTAAACATACAGTAGAATCTCGGTGATGTCAAATCGCGGCAGATACGAATTTATGAAATTTTCTAGTAAAATTTCACTATGTTCATTGGGCCTCTATTCGAATGTTCCAAACACATTTTCCAATTGTGGCAGGTGATACGGAAACTGTCGAATGAAGGCCAAGAGTAGCGTACTCATAGCTTCAAAAGTACGCGTGCGACCAGCACACGCACTGTGTTCTACAGTGTGTGTATTGTCGTTGCCACAACTTCTGTGGACGAAACCGCGGTCGTTCTTGATACTAGTATCATGTATGGCGACGAAGTAACTGACAGAACCCCGAAAGTCTGCGTGCGTCCAACGCTCGACCAGTCAAAGCATCGCTACTTTCTGCAAACTCAGCGAACAAAGCCACGGCAGATGCAATCGTAGATGGCATAAAACGACTTAGTTTTGAGGGCACTTGTCCAGCCAAGCAAATGGGGAACTACCATTTGCCGCCAACGCTGCTCACCTAACCGCGGTCGCGGCGACGCGATAGCAATGCATGAGCTGAGAGGGCACGTGGCCAATGCTGCGGTAGATTAAAGGCAGTAAAGACATGAAAAAATGCCAGATGCGTTTTGGCGTTCCTGTAAAAAAAAAAAAATCTAGTGAGCAACGCTGTGACACGCGCTTTTGTGGCAGCCAGCTGCGCCGTCCGGTCCGTTGTCCATTCATGTGTGTCTCAGGAAGACATATATGCGAGTTGTTTTGACGGAAATAGATTCTGCTATTTGAGTTGATCTTTTGAGACTCTCACTTCAGTGGGAAACCCTATCCTCGTGGGTTTGGCCGTTCCAAGCCTCAGTAAGACCGCAACGCCGACGTTAGCGCTTGCGATTGAGACCCCACCCCTCCATCCCCTCTTGTTTTTTGCAATGTTTTTTTGTTGTTTGTTCTTGGTTTTTGTTATTTTTTTGTTGAAAAAAAAATAGACAAATAATTCAGTGCACCTCCCTCTCCCCGTTCAGGAAATCTCCTGGATTCATAATCCCTGAATTTAACAGTTATGGGCTAGTTGTGTGGCCTCCAAGATTGGAAGCGCGCACTGGCATGCATGCTCTTCCAGTTTCGGGGGCCATGTCTTATCTTTCCTGGCTAGCAAAACTGCAAAACATTTCTTTTACAGTGAGCCTGATCATCATCATTAATACACCGATAGGCTGTTTTTAATTTTGGGGGTTTGTTTTTTCTAATTGTCGTAGCGCTGTGGTCGTGTTATTGGTGCATTGGTGCCGAATGTGTTTGAGCCGTGGTGCGTGTCACATGCTCGCCGCTGTTCACAGTTGTCCAGTAGCACTCTGTGGTCACGGCACTTGGCTCCTTCTAGAACTAGGGGTTCGGTCGCAGCCGCGGCGGGGTGAAATGCCAAAGGCTCACGTACTGTGTGATGTCAGCGCAGGTAAAGGAAGCCCAGACCGTGTTGTTGAAAAAACCTACTCTATGTTACCATGTATAACTTCCACCTCCTATTAGAAGAAAGTGGGAAAAGAATCTGTGTGTACAACTCGTGGAAGTAACGGCACACTGTTGTTTCACCCTAATAACCCAACTTCACAAAATTGACTTCATACAATAAACTGCTTTCTTTTTGGGATGTTAAGGAGCAGCTTTCTTTGTTTGCAAATGTCAGCCACCTATATTAAATGCTTACGCAAGCTCCACTTTTTCAAATGCGAATGCATTTCTTAGTCGGACTATGTCAGGCATCCGGCGGCGGCCGCCGCGCGCCGGCAGGTGTCTCCGTTATCAGTCCCTCTCCCATAGCAACTGCTGCGGGCACGCATGCTTATCGTCGCCCCTAGCAACCGGAGTATGTGGTGCAAGAGAGTGTAGCAGAGGGTAGGTTCAGTGCTTCGCCTCTCCTTCTCTTGCCATTCGCTCTCTCCTCCCTGCACCCCACTCTCCCATCCACTTGCGCCTCACTTTCGACCATTCACTGACTGGGCGCCTCTCAAAGCAATGGCAGAAGTAGGTGAAGGCGAATGTCTGATGGCAACTGTGCCCTCTCTCGGCGCTAGAAATGCATTCGCATTTCCTCACAATTCTCATGGGGAGGTGAAGGCATTTTTTTCTTAGTTAGGCCTTGCTTTGAACCAAAATATCTTAAGAAAGCCTAGAAATCTTATTTTGCTTTCGGCTAAGGCCTTTCAACTTACCTTTGTGTATGTGACTTAAACATTTTGCAAGCTGAGAGTCGACCAGGCATATCAGGCGCATTTCTTTTTTTTTTTTCATTGACCGTAATACATTAAAAGCTCGTTTACTCGGACCTCGTTAACTCGGAAATCCGGTTAACTCAGACTCGCGACGTGGTCCCGGCAGAACTGTGTATATTTCAATTAGGTCAAATGCTCATTAATTCAGAGGGATTTAGCCGCACACCGGTTATCTCGGAAAACTCTGGAAAGGGCTATCGGGACTCCAGAGTCACGCGATCTCGGCGGCTTGGAGGCTCAAGCACCGCTTGCGGTAACCGACGGCAGAATCGGAGTTTTGGAGAAACCGAAACCGAGCGAACTGCAGCAGAATATGACGATGATGATAGTGAACGAAGGGGCGTGGCTAGGTGGCGCTAGTCACCACCCAGCGGAAGAGGTGTTCTGTGGCGGAAGCGCTTGGGCCACCGGCACATCTAGTGTCTACTAACAGCTGCTCGCTACGCCTACCGGTGTACTACCACAGAACACTTCGGGTACTACTTCGTGTCTTGGTTCTTTGTATTGTGACTTCGCGTGTTGCGGCTGTGTTTGTGCGCGTTGTCGCTGCCGTCGCGCTTCATGGCGACCATCACAGGAGTTAAGCGGCCACAGCAGCCAGCAAATGATCTTGAAAGAAAAGTTATGATATTGAAAGACGTGATGAGCCGACGCGACGTCGCCGCACCGTGCAGGAGACCGCCGAAGCCCTCGCTGTCCTCGAGGGGTTCTGCGTTTGTTCTTGCGACAGTGAACGTGCGCACCACCACCTGATAGGATTAATTAAGATCGTTCTGTCAAATTCCGACGGCGAGGCAGGCAAAAATAACGCACCTTTTTTTAAGAAATAAAGGTTTGTCTGTGCCGTGTACGTTTTCCATTTGTTTTCATGGTTCGTTCGATAATTCGGAATTCGGTTAACTCGGACATTTTCTCCGGTCCTGTGAGATCCGAGTTAACGAGCTTTTACTGTAAGAACAAAATTTACATGTCAGGCCGACCTTCTCTCTTTTTTTCCCCCAAGCTCTCTGACTTGTCAGGTGCTTCAATTCTTGACACTGATCACAATCACGCTCAAAAGTCCTCTTACGTTGGAGGCACAATATCAGTCTACAAAGTGTTGTCATAATGCAGGAAGTGTCATTTTTGTCACCATATGTATGTTTTTCACAGCCCTTGCATATATTAGGGAAATGGCATGAGATTAAAGTTTTGTGAAATGTTCATTAACATTCATCCTTCCCCACAGCTCCGGCCATTGCGGTCAGGGTCAATTGGTTCAGCGTCCCTGACACCCGTTTCTTCTGCAGAGAAGATTCCATCGGTGCCCTGCCTGAACAGGGTAAGTTTAACAGGTTAATACCACAGCACACGTGGTATTAGGCAAGCACTGAAGAAAATGCAGTCAAACTCTGCTACAACGAAGTTCACGGGGACCGCGAAAAATTTCGTTCTAGCGGGAATTTTGTTATCGCGGAAAAAGTGGTAGATAAAGAGAAAAGAATATGCACGACACTTGAGGGAACAGTTCATTTCCAAAACTTAAAAAGAAACTCCGATTTTTGACTGCTTGCACTTCTGCACGAGCAACGGCAGAATGCGCTGCTTACATTTTGTGAGGAGCTGCATGACGACATCGTTGTCATGGGTGCTAAGGAAACGACGCAGGATGTCCAAGGAGTACACGACCTGAGACGCCTTCACTTGTGTCGGGACTGCAGGAACACTACGTGCGGTTTCATCGTCATGCATTTAATCGACGGTGACGATAGCTGCACGAGTACTCCTGGGGATTTCGGCATCACTCAGCTCCTCGTGCAAGATCACCTCCGCGTCAGCGTTAAGGTAATGGCTAAAGGCAACGCTCTCAGGTAGAATGCTGGCATCCTTGAGAGCTGCCCATGCTGTGGCTGTTTCAGTGTTTTGCATGGTCCAATGTCATCGGCCGCTTGTACGTCGTCACTTGTGCTGGCCAAGTTCATTTCTTCGGGCTGAAATCCTGCGTGCGCAAAACAGTTCTTAACGTCACGCCGTGTCAACATCCATGCGGCGGCCAACATTTGTTGCACAGCCATGAACGAGTCAGCTTTAATGTCACGGCCATGCTCTGTATTCAATAGGATTTGCAGAAGAAGCCTTGATCGTTGTGCGTGCTTCAAGCTGTTGATGACCCCTTGATCGAAAGGCTGAATCAGTGATGTGCAGTTTGGCAGAAAAACTTCACCGCAATGTTTGTCAGCTTGACATTGCTGTCCAGGCGATGCGCTGAGCTATTATCCAGCAGAAAGCAAACACTGCGGTCTTGCTTTTTCGTGTCGTTGTCTAATGCAACAATCAAGTCGGGGAAAATGGCCCTCGTCATCCATGAGCGGCTGCTGGTAACATACTTTACTGCCAGGTTTTTCGTGCCCTTGAAGTACCGTGGTTGAATGCTCTTGCCGATATTGAAAATATGTTTGTTGGACGCATTCATAGTTGCTCAGAGAAGCATGGTGACTCGCTTTTTGTTATGTTTGCTTTCGTGGTATTGTTTGCCTTTGAAGTGAAGCATCTTTGCTGGTAGCATTTCATAGGAGAGCCCAGTCTCGTTTGCATTGTACACGTTGGACGCAGCGTACTTCTCGACGATGTCAGCAGTGTTCGACGACGTCCACAACACATACCGTCGCTGTCTGCAGAAGCGAACTGTCCGCACAGCACCTTCCCAACGATCTCGTAGGGCTCCCTAAATCGCTTGAGACACCCAACACTTGCCTTAAAGTTTTCGTTGATGCATAAAATGCAGGCGGAGTTCAGTGCCTTCTGCTGAATCAGGCTATAGCTGATCGGTATATTCTTGGCCCTCGTTTCTTATAAACCATGCATACGCTGCCTTGTAAAGTTCTTCATAGGCTGGCTGTGTCGTCTTCTTCCGTTGGGCAGATGTGCCCGACGCTAGGGCATTTGACGTGTCGCTTCGGACTCGAGTATTGTTGACAGAGAGCTTGGCAAGGTACTGTATTTCTTAGCGAGGCATTCTTTGAAACGTTCTTTGAAGTGGAAATGTCGTTGTAGTGGAGTTTGGCCGTATGTGTTTTATGTACAGCGTTCTTCTTCGCATTCCCCTTTTGTCTGCTTGGTGTCATGTCCAAAGTGTTATAGGCTTAACAGAGTCCAACAGTACACTATTAGCTTAGTTACAATATACTGTTAAGCTGTAGTCAAAGTTCCGTAAACTCATGAGCCAAACATTGCTCTGCATATGCAGGGAATTTTATGTCAGAATTTTATGTCAAAAACTGGCTAAACTAGCCTGCTCGCTCCTTAATGATGTTGTGACTAATTATGCAGCAAGAAAATAGCAGTCATTGGCTGAGTATGTAAAAAAAACAACAACAGAGACAACGCTCATCTCCGTCTGTAGTATCCAGTGAGCTTCTTGCGACAAAACCAAAGAAATTGTTAGCTTGTGCGATTCTCCGCTTACAGTCAATTGACTCGTAAAAACTTGAGGGGACTGAGCCCACTATAAGATCATCCTATAATAGTTTATTAAGGCCTTTAGCTTCTTAACTTTAATGCTCACAGTTCAGCAAGTGCATTGATTGTGCCACAACAACACTCTAGATACATTACATTCCTTGCTAATGTGTTTATTGGCTTTCTCAAAACACCAAGCTCTCTATTGCCTCGAAGTGCACCAATGTAAGCCATCCGCGATGACTCCTCATTTTGCCGGTTCCCCGTCTCGTGCGCAGAACGGTGCCGTAACACCCATTCGCACGGACTCTGTCGCACGGCAGCTGCAGAACCATGCAGCACCACCAGCCAGCTCACCGTCCATGCCGGCGCTGCAGAAGCGCAGCGGCACATACCAGGCATCGCCCGTGCTCAAGCGGCTGTCGTACACCTCGACAAGCTCCGCCATGCCCACCTCACACCCGCCGCACTCGCTGTCGCTGGACACTATTGTCAAGGAGTACCTTCGCAACCAGCATGCACTATGCAAGAACCCTGTGGTGGCCTGCCCACCCTTCGAACTGTTTGTGTGAGTATCGGCTTTAGTCTTATTTCATTGACAATTTTACGGAGTAGCTTGGAGGCATGGGTAAATAGTAAATTTTAGGTTCGAAGTGAATAGTTATTTGGCCATATAATTTCGAATCATATTTGAATGCTACATATCACATATTATATAAGCAAAATTGAGCAAATTTGTCACGACCCAGCTTACCTGCACAGTATCTTTTTTTTATTTAAACAAGGCATGTGCAAATGCCATTCATTTTATGGAAGCAGGAATTGACTTTCAGTAGAATGCAAAGGGTCATCTGCAAAATATCCTGTGTTTAAAAATTTGCTATACTTACAGCGTATAACCCGGTTTAACAGGGTTTTAAACTTAGAAAGAGGTTGATCTGTGCAAGGTTCATTTAACCTTGAAGTGGGGCTTCATGGCAGGGCAAGATTTTTTCTGGGTAGATGTATTCGCAGCATAGCACCCTCCAATAGTAAAACCACCTTTATGGAGGATAACAATGGGATTAATACCCTAATGGGATTAATACCCTCAAATCTCGATATAACAAAGACGGATATAACAAATTATTGGTTATAACAAAGTGATTAAAAAATACCCTTGTTACAGTACTAGGAATGTACCTCCATAACAATTTTTTGGATATAACGAAGTCATGTTTGTGCAAGATGCAACTTTGTTATAATGAGATTTGAGTGTGTACACCTGTTTGTCCATTTCGAATACTTCGAAGTTTCCTGTAATACAAGTTTGAATGAAAGTGCATTCGAATGTAATCTGATATTCCTTCGAATATTTGAAGTGCTTGAATATTCGTACAAGCCTGTTGAATTCGCTTCGCACTGAAAATATTTGCTATTCACACAGCTTTGATCATTACTATTATGCAGATGCACTGATGCAATGTTTGCCAATGTGGTTGAAAACAGGCGGCCTAGATGGAGGAGTAAATCTGAGTCACGGTGGTTGCATTTCGATGGTGCCAGAATGCTTAAAGGCCGATGTAATATGTGATGTCAGTTAACATAAAAAATGCCACATTGATGGAATATTCAGAGTCCTTCACTGCGATCCTCTAATTATATCATAATTTTGGCACTTAAAACCCCACAAATCATTATTAAGAGTGTACAAGATAAATATCTGTAAAAGTGGTTGTTATATAGGAGAAAGGAAAATATAAATATATTGCCAAATAAAATGAACAATCACTGAAATATACAGCTGTTTACGAAGGTGAAAAAATAATCTAGCATGTAAATCTGTGAAAGTTTGTGTAATTTTTTGGAAAGGTAATGAAAGTTTAAAAACTTTTATCTACCTTTTTAGCTTTGGAGTGCAACATTCCAGTTGACGAAGAAGTTGTCCAGGACTGTTGTCTTTTTGAGAAAGTCGTTCTAAGATCGAAGCCAGGAGTTCTCACTCCTTCAGAACCTCAGCGGCTCTTGCAGAGTGCCACAATCAGGATCAGAATCATTTATTTCAGATCAAACAAAAGATTAAAGACATTGTAAGAATATACAGAACGAGGTCCCATAGTCACAGACTGAAATCACTTAAGGGGAGACGCGGGTCGAAAAGTCGCGGTTTTCCGGAAAATTTTCGCTTTTTTTTTTCCGGCTGTATTGGCATCCTTGGACTATAATCTATTACTTCTGAAAATATCAAGCTGAAATTCGCACGAGAAATTATCAAAAAATGCTTCCAAGTGGGCAGCGGTGACGCGAGAAATGCGCGAAAGTCGCGAAAAACGGCGAAGTTCGCGTCGTTTTGTCGCGAAAACGACGCGTTGGCCGCCATTTGCAATCGTGCACGCATGCTGCGAAGGCCGTATCCTTCATAATCCACTAGTAGCCAGTCTCGTGCCTTCACGCAGAATAAACAAAAAACGAGAAAAACAACGCGTACGTCACGCGTTTTGAATATCGCGGCACACAGCGCGAGGCCGCCATTGGACGGCGGTGCGCTCCACGCTCCTCCCCCTCCTATCTCTCCGGCAAAAGAGCAAAGCCTCGGACGTCGCGATCGAGTTTTTCTGCGTTTCTCTGCATTTTTGCGTTATGGCAAGCCCGAAGAAGTGCAGTTCAGATAATCGAAAGTTCAGAACTCGCCACAAGTATCGAGGGAAACGGCGTCGGACGCTTCGCAAAGCGGCAGCGAACGACGATGTCGCCCCCGACCAACGCCCAGACGCTCCGACTTCGGATAGGCCTAACACCGTCACCGAACCCTGCGACAGTGGTTGTAAAATAGCCGCTGCCGTGGAATTCGTCAGTGCATCCCAAAGGAAGATTGGATTCTTCGAGAGTGAACGTAGACCGGTAGATGCTGCTACTGCGAACATGCTGCTTTGCGAAATCGATGCGCTGACGGCACTTGTGGCGGGTGCGTAATGCCCAACCTGCCGCGAACGGAAGCTCGGCGTGCGAGAGGCAGCTGGAAAGCGCAAAGGACTTTCGGCATTCCTCGAACTGTGCTGTCAAAATTCTGATTGCCCTGAATCTGCACTTTCGTTCACGCACACGTCGAGACGTACTGCTTCGGCCGGGGACCAAGGAACGAGCGCTCGTTTTGACAGCGGCAGCTCGCGTGACAGCTTTGCTGTAAACGTGAAGGCAGTTCTGGCAGCACGCGCTATAGGCGCAGGCCACGACCAACTTTCACGATTTTGTGCGATTCTCGGTCTTCCGAGCCCGATGCATCACAAGACATTCAACGGCATTTGCAAGAAGCTCTGTGGTGCGGCGATGACGGCAGTGAGCAAAAACTTGCACCAGGCACGAAACATCACGAAAGACGCAGTCGGCGGCAGAGATGTGCCAGTCATGTTTGATGGCACCTGGCAGAAAAGAGGTCATAAAAGCCACAATGGAGTGGGCACAGTCGTGTCCCTGGACACGGGGCTCTGCCTCGATTTTGAAGTTCTTTCGAACTACTGCCATGCTTGCAGTATACACAGGGACCTTGGGGAGGATGAAGAGATATGGCGAGCTTTTCATCTTCCAGTTTGCCAAAAAAACACTGACTGCTCATCCCATGCAATGGAACCTGCGGCAGCTGTCAATATATGGCAGAGGACCTTGTCTTATGAAACTCCACTGCGATTCACCAGCTTCCTAAGTGATGGTGACAGCAAGGCCTACACTGCAGTCTGCGAGGCAAATGTATACTGTGACACCCCCATTGACAAAGAAGAGTGCACGAACCACGTTGCAAAGCGCTTGGGAACTGCCCTACGGAAATTGGCAACGCCACTGCCACGAGGCGAAAAACTGAAAGATGCGACAATAATAAAACTACAAACATATTACAAGATCGCCATCACGAGCAACAAGGACAGTGTCCGAAATATGTACACTGCCATATGGGCATCGCATTTTCATTGCTGCTCCAGTGATGGTGCCAGTAGCCACAACTTTTGCCCCGCGGGACCAAATTCGTGGTGCAAGCACAAGCGTGCGGAAGCACTGGGGGAGCCTGCACCACGCCACACCCCACTGTTGACGAAGGCTCAAGGATTGGCAATTATGCCTATCTACAAGCGCCTTACAGAGGAGAAACTCCTTATTCGGTGCCTTCATGGCAAGACACAGAATGCAGCCGAATCGCTGAACAGCAAGATATGGCTGCTATGTCCAAAAACAAAGTTCGCCTCCAGAACAACTGTGGAGACAGCCACCGCTCTTGCTGTACTCTGGTACAACAAAGGCCACAGGGGCTTTGAAGAAGTGCTCGAAGGCATTGGAATTCTCCCCTCACAAGATCTGGCCACACATGGTGACCACTGTGACGTCATGCGCATTAGGAAGATGAACCTGAAGCAAACTGCAGAAGCGAGGGCACACCGTCGCAACACAGCGAAGAGAGCTCGTGTTGAGGACACTGACCGCAAGAGCCGTGAAGGACCAAGCTATGGTGCAGGGGACTTCTAGACACTTGCAGTGCATTCAAGGCAAGGTACTTTTCATTGTGCCCCAATTTGATGCAAAAAGAATGATTTCCTAATAAATGCCAACTTTGCGAACTTTCAAACTTGTTTTTCTCATTTTCATTTTTTCTGACAGTTTCACGTTTTCAGGGCAGCCTTTTAGAAACTTATATTCATTGTATAGTAACGAAACTTGGCACACATATTCTTCAACACATGCAGAATGCAAATATCTACTCTAAATTGCAATGCCTACCAGCATTAGTTGTGAAAATATTAGCTTATTGTTTCAAGGGAGATTGAAAATAATAAGTCATTCAATACAATTTTTTTTTTCTTGGTTCCAATATTTCTGTGACATATCTATATAAATATTTGCACTTTTCAATCTACCAAGAGTCAAATAAGATCAGACACAGTGCTTTTACTGAAAGTTTAGTACATAAAAGAGTGCCCGCAAAAAATGTAACTTTTTGCTATTGTTTATGGCATAACTCAATAATTATAGCAGCTACACAAAAAATGATTGCATATTTCAAATCTGCATGAAAAACTATACTAATAACAAACTTTTCAAGTCTCTATTACTAGAAATAAAAAAAAAACTTTTTCGAGGAGCGTCTCCCCTTAACTACAATACCAAACTTTTTTTTTTTTGGCATAAGACATTGAACATTGCATGTTTCAGGCACCGTTTCAAGTGATGTTTCAATTAATGCATGTTTCAAGCAATTTGTTCATGCAAAGGAAGTGCCAAATGTATGGAAGAGAACCGTGTTTCATTGTAAGAGAGGCATGCCAGTGGCGCTATATAATGGCTGTCCACTAATGCACTGCTGCTCACAAGGTTGAATGGTTGATGTTTGTCTGGCCCTCAGCCGGCATGGTGAAACCACCTGTTGTGTAAATCGCCTTGTGTAGAAACTGTGTTACGTAAACACTGGCGCACCATGGGCCACGAAAGGATATGTTAGGTGAGAGCATTGCTTAATGTGAAGGAAAGGAACAAACAGAAAGCAGGACAGAATAAAGAAAAATGGATGGGGGTGCGAATATTCGAAAGTTTTGAATTTTTGGCGAATATTGCATTTGTAATATTCGTATTCGATTCAATAACCCCATATTAAAAAATTTAAAATATTCGAACTCGTATATTCCTCGAACATTCGATGTTCACGAATATTTGTTCGTAGGTTTGTGCGATTGTTCGAATGCTTCAAGGATTCAAACGAATATTAGGGTATTCAAATTCGGTCCGGTTCAAATTTAAATTGTTGAAAACTTCGAAGTATTTGCAAGGAACGAATAAATGCATATTAATCCAAATTTACCACTTCTAAAGGTGGTTGCACTGCAATGTAGGGGTGCTAAACCGTGAAAGCACCTGTCCAGAAGAAATCTGTTCTGCCGCAAAGCCCCCCTTCAGATTTAAAGGGTTCCCGCAACAGTTTCTTAGAAAAATTGTCAGAAAACTCTGCCGATCGGTAGTCGAGGCTACCAAGGACATGCAAGTCAAATATGATAGTGCAGCACGCGGCATGCAAATTCACAATAAATTCTCAAAGTCGGCTAAAATTGCTCTCTTCTCTCGGCAAATGACTCCACAACTTCATAAAGCACAAATGACGTATTTTCTTTTCCCGTGCCATTCCTCCCTGCTTAGCTTTCAGTGCTTTCATTGGGGTGAGAAAATAGAATGCAGTTGTAGCGTGCGAGAAATCTTTGCAACTCTGCGCATATTGGACGGATTCTAAAAATATTTGCGGCGGTGAATTAAATAAGCATTTGTAGTGAATGCATTTGCAGTTATGTATTCGATTCGTATTAGAAAATTTTGATATACGCACACCCCTAAAAAATACTGCATCAGGAACACATATTCCAAGCTTCACTTGTCCCCCCTGCCTTCTGTTTCCAAATTGGGCAGCAGTTCCTTGTGTGCTGGCACCAGGATTTATTTTCTGTCAGACGTGCTTGTGGCATTTTCGGTTGGCTTTCCATTGACCTTTTAAAGCGCTGGGACCGTACGCTCACATGGCGGTCGCAGCTGTCGCAAGGTCAGACATGGAGGGCACTGGCTTTGGGTGAGGTGCCAATGGAATGTACGCCGTGGGATCTCAATCACTGGTGCAACAGAGCAATTTCAGTAATTGTAGCAGTGTATTTGTTCTTCTGTTTCTTATCTTGGTTCAAAATGGGGAACTGCAAAGCGCAGTGCTACGTTGTATAAAAGCTTCAAAAGCAGTAGTACTGAGTAACTGAGTGTATCTAAATGCATCATATTTGCGGTCTAGAATTACTCTGGACAAAACAGCTTGGAACTAATTATAAGTACGACACTGTTTTAAGATGTGCATCATCAATCCTATGTGCTGTTGTCTCTGTTGATGAAAACACTGTTATAAGCTTGGAGCATGCAGTGTATGAAGCACGAGGAAATCGCCTAGGTGCCCATTTATTTCATTCGAACCTGGTGCTGGCGAGTGTTGATGTGCTGGGGCTTTATTGAGGTGACTTGTCATGTCATTGTTGCCTCTATACAAAAGTACTGTCATTGTTGTCTGTCGGAACTGACGTGCTTTGGTGCTGAGCAAATGGATGAAGGTCCACTGCCTTGAATGGAGAAAAGGGGGGGGGGGGGGGGAGCACTGCTCATTGTGATCGAAACAAAAAAAGAAATGAAAAGCAGAAAGATAGTATGAAAGAAAGACAGATAGAAAGATGGTTGAAAGATAGTTGTTAGTAGGCATGTAATGCACACGCAAAGCTTTGCTTGGCCCCCGTTTTCCAATCTGGCAACGGCTCCTGATTTTTTCTGATTTCATGTTTCCTGGATTTAGGAGCTCGCTCATTGAGTTGGTCATTGGGTGCGCATGCACGCATTCTTCGTTCAGGCCACACCGGTGTCCAGAGCCTCAGTACCGGAATGCTGCGCCCGTGAGCATGGCGGCCAGGCTGCAGCGCTGCCAGGTGTTTCCCCCGGCCGGTGGACTGGACGGTGCGAAGCTTCATCGAAAGTTCATCTACAGCCGGTGAGTACCAGCACCTTTTTTTTTTTGAGCACCTTAGCTGGGTTCTATAATCTGACCAAGGCATTACCTTGTCGCTGACTTAAAGGGGGACATGGTGTGTGGAGATATTTTTTGTATTTGTGGACCAAACATGACGAAAATATACATGCTTATGTAGTTTCTCATACTGATTTCAAATATCCAAAAATTTTCATTGTAGGTCAATTAATTTAGAAGATACACAATGCTGCCGCTCTATTGTTTTTGGAGATAATAGAAAAGAAAGGGCTTATCAAAAAGTAAATATTATTGTATAGCTAGACAGTGCAATTAGCAATAAGTGCAATGCTGCAAGCAGATTTCAAATTTAAAAAAAAAAAAAAAAAACTAGTGATTCTGCATATGATGAAAGTTGAGGAGTCATGTCATGGCTATCACATACAAAGAAATTTAATACCTTCTAAATTTATATGGGCAGCAAATGGAAATTCTGCTCTCAGCACTTTGTAATACACAGATTGGGCTTTACGTTAATGAAAAAATTAATGCTCTAGCTGTTCTAGATTGGAAGATATCAACCCGACAAACTAGTAAAGTCACCAAAAAGCATGTTTTCAGAAAACTGAGAAAAAGAAATAAAACTCATTCATCTACATAACTGCACTTGAAAATGCTCAGTATGCACCGGGCATGTAGCCATTTAGATTATGAGTCACTGTTTGGTGCTTTTTAAGGGACTGGTGCATGTTCTCCGTTGCTTGTCGCTTCTTGACTGATGCCGCCGTGCACCGTCAATCCTTTTCAGCCATGCGGCTGCGGCTTTGCCAGCTGGGGTTTAGGCTCAGCTCTTTCATAATGTCCTCCGATGCCTTTTTATTGCCTGCATTGAACTTGAGCACTGCTTCTGCCACAGCTGCCTCCACCGTGAATAGCGAAGCATGTCTCTCCTTTGGTGCCAGTGCCCAGATCATTGAATGCAGGCACTCGTTATTTTGGGCTTTCCCTCGCTGGCATCGTTGCAACAGCTTTCTGTCTGACAAGCACTCATAAGTTGGAAGTAAGGCTTGGCAGACATGCGGAGGCAGCTTTCGACGGTGTTTGGAAATGGGCTCCCCCTTGGCCTTTGCCGCATTTTATTTGCACCAGGAATTTGGACCAGGTGGGCACAGAGTGTGGTTTACCACATTGGACGTGATGTAATAAGTGGCCATCACTGCTGTGTGCATAGCATCAACATTACCACTGGGCGTCTTCAGAGCCCACCCATAATAATTGGTGAGCTTGGAGATCAGGTCTCCTGTCAAGAGGTCCTTTCCCATAAGACTCTCAAGGCCAGGGCCTTTGTGTTTTGCAATCAAGTTGTGCAAAGCAATGCCCATACGCTTTTGGTTAGATTAATGCAGTCCTCTTTTTCCACTGGGATATACCCATAAACCTTATCTTCTTGTAGCGCAAGGCAACTGTGGCTGTCCCCGTCGCAAAGCACCGTGGTGTAGCGCAGATTGTGCCGCTCAAGTGACCTCCTCAAGAGGATGAGGGCAGCCTCAACCTCCATTTCGCCAGCCTTCTTGTCACTGTTTTTCTGACACTGGTGATGTTCCTTCCATGCTGCATAAGAAGGGTCACCTTCCTTTGGGCCCGACTCGCATCCAGCACAAAAGTTGCTCAAAACAACGAAGTCAAGCACCAGCCCACTGAACAATTCTATGACGGTGCTGAGACCGATATGCGACGAATGACCGCGAGTCATCCACGACCCATCAAACGACACCGCGATGCTCCCCATGTGGCCAATATTAAGTTCGGCGTAAAGTTCGCAAACCAACCGCGCGCAGTCGCTCGTCAAATTGCGTGCAGCACGATTGGCCGTGGGTGCCAACTTTGTCTTCACGTAGTGTTGCCACGTTTTCGTATGAAGACCCCGACGGCTGATGCCCATCAACGAGAACACATCATTCAGCGCAGTCTGTCTGTTCCCCGTTGCCTGCATGGCATGCGCAGCCAAAACGTTCACTGCAAAAGGTTTCATACGTTCATCGCTACGTACGCACGGCAAGCTCCACAACGACACAGTCTCCCCACAGGTCGAACACACAAAATGCAACTTCACGGCGAGTCCGAATTCCCGGCCGTCGCGGACAATCTGCAGTTCTCCGTTGCATGCCTTGCACTTTGCGAATGCGAACAAAGCGCTGTTCACTGTGTCCAAATCTATAATTGTGAACGTGGTTCCATCAGGCGGCCGAGCTTCTTCGTCGACACCGTCAACCACGAATGCCCGTTTCTGCTCCGTCGCTGCAGCGGACGACAACTCCGATAACTTATCTTTGGCTTTAGCTCTCTCCTCTTCCAAGTGAGATTGCTGCCGATAGATAGTATCTAGACGCACGCAATCGCTGCTTGAAGGCTCTGCGGCTGACGGACTTTGCACAGGCTCCATGACAACTGATGCGATAGCTAGGCCTTCCGTGGTAGCGTCGAAGACTTCGCCATGGGACGCGGAGAGTGTAGCGTCTCGGGGGTTTTGCTGTATCGCGGAGCACTTCTTGAAATTCGCTACTAGCGTCATTCGCACCTTTTTCGCACCAAACTTGTGCCGCGTGCAGAATTTGCGCTCAGATTTGACATTGTGAGACTTCTCCGCTGACACTGAGGCAAAATGGCGCGCATGGACGCGTGCCTCAATACCCAGAGCAGACGAAGCCAGTAGCTTCCATCAATAGGGAGGCAAGCTCAAGTCACGTGCGCGAAATAGCGAATAGGAAGGCGCTCTGATACTTCTTTTGGCCACTCATTTTACAAGCTGCCAATGGTTAGATTGGACCCACTCTGGCGGGAATTTGAAGGCGAAAGACTGCTCTCTCAAATGAGACCAAGCGGGCTGCGCTGGCACACATGAAAGGGCAGGGGCGCGTCACAGAAAGTGTGCGATTTCATCGTCGATTTCGGCTCAGATTTAGCTACAAAGCGCCGTATAAAGAGTCTTAGCGGCTAAAATAATGATATTATAAGCATGAAATTCACGGTATAAGTGCACTAGTAGCTCTAGATTTCAAAAATGCAATAAAAAACTAGTTTTTTTCGCGATTTTTCGGTCTCCACAACCCGTGTCCCCCCTTAAAGTGGAAATAAAAAGAAATGGTGCCAGTTACCTGCAAAACCCTTTCACAGGGCTTTCGAATTCAAGCTATCTAGTACCGTCGATCCAGGATATATCAAATTATTGGCTATATCGAGTAGTTGAAAAATATCCATGAATTTCCCATGTAAAAGTATTAGATCGCGCATAAAACATACAAATGCCCTTGCAAGTGCCACGCAACGAACCATATCAGCGCAATAAAATGACATCGTTTTTGCGTACCTTGCACACGAAAAAGGATCGGAACTTGTCAGAACGTGGCTGAAACTTAATCAATATTTGCTAAAGAAAATTAGCTTTCTGGTCTTCAGCGCGGCGCAGCGTTCGATATACGTGTGCACCGGTCTCATATTCTTGCATGAGAAATTTGAGGGAATTTTTGAACTGCCCGATATAGCCAGTGATTCAACATATCTCAGATCAACCGTATTTAGGTACGGTGAGAACACACATGAGCAACTCGCCTGGGCATTGAGAAAAAGCTGCCATAGGCAGCGTCGACCCGACGAATGCAAAGAATAAATGTCACCGTCTTAGCAGCAATTAAACCGTAGTATTCTCCATGGCAATAAAGTATCGTAAAGACCTGAATATAGGTCGAATATTAAAAAAAACATGGTGAAAAGTCTACTCTTGTCTTTTATACCAGTGTTTAGTAGAAAAAAGTCTCGCAACAATGGGCAATTGAAGTCAAAAGCCTCCATTGCCATCGTGAGCATCAGCAGCAGCGCCGTTGGGCAAGGCTAGGCAAGGCTTACAGTGTACTAGCAACGCCATTTTGCTTCAGTTATCTTCGTCAGTCTGCTGTTTTTTTTTTTTTCTATTTTCTTCAAAAGTGAGTGGTAGTCAACGGCAGTTTATGGCTTTAAGCAAAAAAGTTATCGAGTATGCCAAAGCGCACGGCAACCTGGCGGCAAAACGGGAATTCGGTGCATCGAATTTGGTGTGTCAGAAAAAAGCGTCCGATACTAGAGGAGCCAAAAGCAGTGCATCACATCCTGCAGCAACAAAAAAAAAAACACTTTGTTTTGTGGACAGACCAGCAGTGCACCCTGAACTGGAAACGCTACTCGCCTAATTCATCCAGAAGCTGCGTGCAACGTCTCTACTTGTGACAACAGAGTGCATCTGCAGGAAAGCTATAGAGATAGTGCGCGACTCTGGGCTCACAAGGGCACTATTCATGGGCTCACAGGGTTCGTTGCAGGTCCTTAAAAGCCTTGAAAACTTTTTCGAAATGGCATTTTCAAAGCCTTGAAAACCCTTGAATTTGTTTGAGGTCCTTAAAATTTCTTGAATTTCGTCAATCAAAGCTCGTTCAGCCATAATCTAGTGAACTTTGTTGTGTGCCTGGCAGCTGTGTGCTCTCTAGCCAACAAACCATCTAACCTGATCCGTTTCTCTAGCCATATTACAGTGTTGTAGTACAGTGTGCTCTTCTAGTACACTGTAGTTGTGGTAGTGCTTGCTTGTTTACAGTAGCAATGACAGAGCTAAGCCTGGCTTTTTTGTGGAGGCTGTGCAAGTGCGCGCAGATATTCGGAGTCTCATCGCATATGGCGGAGCTATGCTGGGCAAGTGGGAATTCCAGCTCTCTTGGTTATGCAATGCTGCTTATAGGGAGTGGATTGCACCACTCCCATGTGGGAAGAGCTTCAACGTGTCATCAAAGGGGAAGTCTGCCTTTAAAGTCGCATGAAGAGTACGAAACACATTGAGAACACAAAAAGTGACTACAGTCCATGTTAATTTGAGTGCGTTCATGGTGCCAATCGTACAAAATAAAGTACAAATCTTTATGCTGTAAGAATTGGCATTGTCATTTTCTGCAGTTTCAAGAGTTATTTCAGGTCCATGAAAAGTATTTATTAGGTCATTG